TGCTGTGAGTAATGTCACAGGTTTGTACAGCCATAAAGTAAAGTCCAATAGCAAAAAGAGAGCAGGAAAATCATGATGTCATGAGAAGATGCAGTAAAAAAAGGGCAAGGCAAAACACTATCAGTATCAACACAGTTCCTTTATTGTCAGTTAGGCATTCTAAAAAAATATGTGTCCATAAAAATGATATGTTCTGCTGAAGAAAAAGAAACTGGAGCCACCAGTCCACCACCTAGTCCAAATCCGACAGTTCCATGGCCTTACCAATGGACTGGTTGTGTTGGACCACCTGATCAAACAAGGGAGGGAGAGGAGTAGTTCCAATTTGGAACAAGTGAGTCCCAGGGAGCGTGTGGTAGGTGTAGCTGTAGCGAAGACGATGGACAAATGATAAGTGTACCCAAGTGAATGGGACAGCGATGAACATGGGCGACGCAAGGGGATGAACCTTCTCCAGCTCAAAAACTACCCACCCACGCTCCAACCAGGCAAGACGAGCGACCGATGTTTTGATAGTATATGATGGCAGATCGACGTCATGAAGATGGACCTGTTGCCCTATTTGGACCAGCCGCCGGGGCTTTGCTGATATCAGCAGTGGCACGTGGTAGTCAACGGATCGGCGACGGAAGCGGATAGGAAGTGGTGACATCAGAAATGGCGGGGGTGCAAATAAAATGAGGAGGAGGAGGGTGGAGGTGACGGAAAAGTGGATTAGAATGGGGATCCAGAAACGACCGTCAGGTGAGAATAAAAAGGAGAGGAAGGGGCCCATGGTGGGGCTAGGCAAAGGAAGGGGAGTAAGGGAAACGACAAAAGCGAGGGCGCAATGCAATGTGTAGCCAGTGGCGACGCGAAAATTTGCCGAAATGCCAAAACGCGGAAAGTACCGGATGGAAAAGCAAAGGTGAGCGTGACTGGATTGCCTAATAGAGGTGGTGCTGATCAGCCACAAGTTCAAAAAGGGCAATATTAATTACTATTCCCTGTGGCACTGTGCCTGTGTGGCGCAAAGGCGAGTCTTTTGAATATTCGCTTCATTATTGACACCTGTCCATGCTACCAATCAACTTTGGTGCATGACAACGTACCCTCTTAGCCGAGACGAACAACACCATCTAGACAAATTCCTTAACGAAAACTTAACAAGTGGACGGATTCGAGTGTCTAAATCACCCTACGCATCACTATTCTTCTTTATCAAAAAGAAAGATGGTTCACTACGCCCTGTCCAAGACTATCGCAAGCTGAATGAGCTCACCATAAAGAATCGCTACACCCTCCCCCTCATATCTGAACTCATCGATAAACTCAAAGGTGCCAACTACTTCACAAAACTAGACGTACAATGGGGATACAACAATGTCCGAATCCAAGAAGGAGACAAACACAAAGCCGCTTTCAGGACCAATTGCGGCCTGTTTGAACCCCTTGTTATGTTTTTTGGACTTACCAACTCGCCAGCGACCTTCCAGACCACCAGACCATGATGGACCACCTCCTAAAAGAACTAATCACGGAAGGAAAAGTTATTGTATATTTAGACGATATCATGATCTTCACAGAAACACTTGAGGAACATCGCCAGATAGTCACCAAAGTCCTCCGTATCCTGCAACAAAACCAGTTGTATCTTAAACCGGAAAAATGCGAATTCAAGAAACAAGAAGTCGAGTACTTAGGCATGATCATCTCCAAAGACACTATCCGTATGGATCCGTTAAAAGCCGCAGCGGTCGCTGACTGGCCTGCACCAAAGAATAAAAGAGAACTCCAATCATTCTTAGGGTTCTCCAACTTCTATCGATGATTTGTCAAAGACTACGGACGAATTGCAAAACCACTCACTGTGCTCACCGGAAAAGTTGACTGGACCTGGAAAGACGAACAAGAGACATCCTTTGAAACATTGAAGAAAACACTTACTACTGCTCCCACCCTCGCTATACCAAACGATGACGACCCGTTCAAACTAGAAACCGACGCCTCTGACTTTGCTGTAGGAGCCGTCCTATCCCAGAAACAAAATGATAAATTCAGACCCATAGCATTCCTCTCGAAAGCTCTTACCCCTGCAGAACGGAACTATGAAATTTACGATAAAGAGATGCTCGCAGTCATGACGGCACTAGATGAATGGCGACATCACCTTGTAGGATCGAAACACCCCTTCACTATCTTCACAGATCACCAAAACCTCCTTTACTTCCGTCAGCCTCAGAAATACAATCAACGCCAAGCTCGATGGTCGTCTCAGCTTGCAGATTATAATTTCAAAATGGAACACGTCAAAGGAAATCAAAATACAAAGGCTGACCTGTTAAGCAGACGGATCGATCATCCTAAAGGCACAAACGATAACGAGAATCAGACACTTCTCCCAGACGTACATTTTGAAGTACTTGACACCAACGAAGGATACCTACCAGATATACGTCGAAGCTTCCAGAAACAAGACGACGTAGTAAAAAGGAACTTGAAAGAGAAGCCGGATACCTGGAAGATGAAGGATAGGATTGTCTGGATCAAGAGAGAATCCGCAACGAGTTCCTACCTGATCCCATTAGCTGACCGCGTATACGTTCCCCGAAACTACGAATTACGGGCGCGAATATTAAAAGATCATCACGACGAATTTCTGGCTGGACACCCAGGAGAAAGAACAATGTTTGAATGAGTAAACCGAGAGCTCTGGTGGCCGAGTCTTTGTACAGATATCAGACAATATGTGCGAGGGTGCGAGAGTTGCCAATGCACCAAGGCACGTCGGACAAAGCCTAACGCCCCTCTACACCTGAACCCGATACCAGATCGGCCTTGGCAGATTATCACCACCGATCTCATAGGCGCATTACCGGAGTCCAAGGGCTATACCGCCGTTCAGGTCTTTGTTGACAGATTCAGCAAAATGGCCCATTTTGTCCCTACTTTCGTCACCCTCAACTCTGCTGGTTACGCACGTCAACTCCGGGACAATGTAATACGACTCCACGGAATCCCTGAAAAGATCATCTAGGATCGGGGTCCTCAATTCATGTCTCGATTTACAAAAGACATTTACGATTTAATGGGGATAACACCAGGCCTCTCTACAGGCTACCACCCTCAAACAGACGGACAGTCCGAGCGGATCAACCAGGATCTAGAGCACTACCTTCGCGTTTTTGTAAATCATCAACAAAATGATTGGGCAGACTGGCTTTCCATCGCTGAGTTTACATACAACAACCATCTCCACACCGCAACAAATCAAACACCTTTCTTTTTGAACTACGGACTACACCCAAGAACGAATATCACCACCACACTGTCCCCTCAATCCGCTTCTGCGGCGGAATTTGGGGAACAGATGAAAAAACTCCACGACATCACGAAATCTTCCCTTCTTTTAGCAAACGATAATCTAAGAAAATATTACGACCATAAGAAATCCCCCTCCCGGGAATATCAAGTTGGCAATAAAGTCTGGTTAGAAGGACATAACATCACAACGGATAGACCAATGAAGAAATTAGACGATAAACGCTTCGGGCCTTTCAAAGTCACCCAAAAGGTCGGACCCTCAGCCTATCAACTCGACATCCCTAGGAGCTGGAAGTCCATTCATCCCGTATTTAACGAAGCCATCCTCTCACCATACCATGCTCCCCAAATTCCTCAATCAACCAATTTCCTCACAACCACCACCCAAGATCGTGGAAGGAATAGACGAATACGAAGTAGAGAGTATAATCGCGTCCAGACCAACTAAACTGAAAGGTAGTAAACTCGACTACCTAATTCACTGGCATGGTTATCCAGTCTCCGAACGCACTTGGGAACCTGACACCAATCTTACACATGTCTCTAATTTACTCGCCGCTTTCCACAAAACGAATCCCGCCGCCCCTCGCATCATTACCGCTTCTCTTCATTTCCGTCCTTACGAAAACTACACCGCCACTTCTAAATCTCCGATGCTTTTTGATTGGATTACCAACAAGTTCCAGAGTGCCGCATCCGGACTCATGAGGACACGAGTCTTATAAAAGGGGAGCTAATGTGAGGAATCGATTTTTCTTATTGCATTCCCGTCATGTCGTGGTTAGCAGACTCAATCCCTGTCACTCCTCTTGCCCTTGGACTAGAGATTACAGCAGGTGTTTTATTACTTTTATCCTTTTTCTTCTTATTCTCTATTCACACTCACGTTCTATCATACCTACAACGAAGGAGACTTGTTGTAGACCCTCGAGAAGATATCCAAATGACATAGCAACGATCCAGTGCTATGTCGGGGAATACTTCGGAGGAATATTGATAAACGAAGAAGGTTGTGAGTCAGCGCCTTCTTATGGGCTTACTGATACAGCCAATTGCACATCCCTTATCAATACATTTTCTCATACAATTAGTAAATACAATAGATTGGACCACCTTCTCCTTTTTTCTTATTGGTTAGTTAGCTAGTCAGACCACTTTCTCAGTTCTTCCCTTTCTCGGTCTGACCATAGCCGTTCACTATATAAAGAAGTACATACTCGATGTATTGTTCTCTAGTTCAATATTAGTTTGGATTTGCGCTCATACCGATACTCTTCATCCTCATACCCTGATTCACCGCCTTCCAGCAAGGACTTGACCAGGCATTGTGCTTTGTTATATAGCTTCGTATTAGTTGCCTGACATGCAGCTCCAAAGTATGCTTTGGAGGTACAAGCAAAGCTTGTTCCTGCACTTTGCGTTCTTCACAACTGCATACGAGTTCATGATCCTGATGACAGTAACAATGAAGAAGGGGACAGCATAGGTGGTGGACAGAATAGTCCAACTATGCGGCAGGATCAAAGGGATCATAGTCATGTCATCACACCTTAGGAAAAGGAGAGGGCAGTACTTAAACGTGATATAATTGCAAAGGCAATGTGGGAACAGTATATCACATATACTCAAACTGGAAACTAGTAATAGTAAAGCTATTTTAACTACATGCTATCAATCTCAAGGTGGATGTAGTTGGATCAAAGGACATCATCAGAGATAGCAGAATATGCATCAGCAATGGCAATATTCTTGGTGAATAGTGCAATTGCTTGTGTGCACTCAGCAGTGGCCAATGCATCATCAACACAAACAGCCTTGATTGCAGCGATTCTCCTCTTGGGTGTGCTGGGGACATCACCAATAAGCTGGGAAATACTAGGGTCAGGATGACTGAGCGATGAAGCCACAGCACTAAGTGCATCTGCAATTCCAAGAATAAGGATGGCAGAAGGTCCTGTCACCTTGGTATGAAGGCACGTTGATGCAGATGCAGGAGTGGGTGATCCAGAAGCTGCACATTTGCATTTTGAGCTCTGAGACACTTCAATAGAATCCTAGAAGAGTGAATAGTGAGGTAAAGTCAACATCAAGCCATATCACATACCTGAGACTTTTCTTCCCCATCCAAGTCTAAATCACTCTCTGGATGACCATCCACTGTGTCCACATCATCTTGATCTACTTGCTCCTTGTAAGGATGAGGCAAAGGCAAAGAAGGCTCATCAATCTCTGGGATATGAAAAGCACCCTCACCAGTGGCATAGTGTCCGTCAATGAGTTCAATTATATCATTGTAGAGCAGAAAAGGGTTTGTACGCCATGGCTTTGCTCCTGGATGGGACTGAGACAGATTTAATTGAGTATATCCCATACTAAATTATTGACTCTACACTTACTGCAATATAGTTATCCCACACATCTTCTAATATGTCATATGTCATGTGCTATTCCGCTTTTTATGTTATTTTCACAGTGATATCCTCACATATTTTGGCAGACATGGTAGAAGTATGTGGAACCAGAATTATGATGTTAAAACTGTTCTGATATGATCATGTGTCAATCAGCAGGTGCTACATATCCCTCTAAAGCTTCTAGGACATTTGTATGTTTAATTCTAGATTAAATATTATTTTATGCTCAATTGCAAGGATACTGCAAGATCCTCTTGACATACCATGTTAATTATGGTGTCAAATCAATCCTATTTGTCCTTGTGAACATTTTTCATCACTAAGACAAACCTCCATAAGGTAACTCTCCCTCAGAAATTGAAAAAACAAACATATATTTATATGTCAAAAACACATAACATTGGATTATACTATTTATCCCCAGTGTAAATGGCCCTATATTCAATGGGAGTATTGATAAATGCATTGGCTCCACATGTGCTACATAACTTAACCCACAGAACAGTGTGGAGAGTGATAATATATATATGTTTTAAAATAGGGGCTGTATGAGTATATCCAAAAGTAGATAAGTTTTAGGTGGTAGTGCGGAACTTTACCATAAAAAGATAGTGCACATACATATTTGGGAAGTGTTCCTGGAACATTTCTTGATGGATTGATGGGGAGGCTCACAGCAAGATCTGTCAGAGGCTCTCACAGAGTGCACAAAGAGATGTAAAAAGAGGCTCTCAGGGAATGCACAAAGAGGGTGAAAATTAATTTCATTTTAGTATTTATTGTAGAGTATACCTCTCGAGAGGATCCACAGAGGCTTCTGGTAGTGATTTAGGCTGTATGCCAAGTATAGTAAATCAATTGCTTATAGGGGCTCAAGAGGCTGGAGGGATGGTGGAGACCTATTTCTCACGACGTAAAAACCCCATCTGTAAGACCGTGGGAACCTCCCCGAAGTGCTGCCTGAGGTGTCCGGGACGGCGGTCCTGCGTCGCTTGCCCCAGGCTTACTTTGCATGACGTTATGGGATTTGATAAGCCCGACTCGATAGCAACTTCTAGGTGCTTGAGTAGTACGTAGTAAGCACGAACCATCAGTAAGCTGCAGCTTGGTGCGAAACTTAGCTAGCTCTAATGCCCGGAACACGCCACTTAACCACGAGATTGCGCCAGAACATGTGAACTCGATTTGGAATAACATAGAACCATGCACCTAGAAAACGCAATTCACGGTATTACAAAGCTCCTTAGCAAGCAGCCCCGGAGAAGAGCTTTAGATACCATGATACAAGTTACGTGGTGGTATATAAGGATGGAAGAAATAGAATCAAACGCAGTTCTCAGTTCAGTAACAAACACTCAGTCGTGTCACCCCTCATCAGAAATCAATTTCCTCACCAAATAAACAATGGCGACAGCAGCGGTTCTTGCTCCCCACGACGTTCACACCAGCCTGAACTACTTTTCGGCGGTCAACGATGAAGCACCATACAATTACGTCCAAGCTCCTCCTCCAGGCGTACTCAGGAGCAACGTCGGGGCAGAATCGCACCCTACTGTCATTCATGACATTCGTGGCCAGGAGCATACCGTCGGTTTAGACAAGACCGGTTTCCAGTTTGTTAAGCACGTGAGCGAAGAGAAGGACTTCTTGGATGATGCGGCCATTGAGGTCAAGTACTATAAAGAAGTGGAGGAATTACTGAAGAAGGAAGCTGGGGCAAAGAAGGTATTCATCTTTGACCACACAATAAGGTGCGAGGTCCTCTTTGGTTACGAACTTTGGTGTCTTGACTAACTCCCACGTCAGGCGAAACTACAAGGACCAGCCGGGAGAAAACACCCGTGGCCCAGTGGTAAGAACATAGTTTAAACAGTATATGCAACTCGAATCTTACCATCTTCTAGCAACGTGTACATATCGACCAAACTTTCGAAGCTTCTGTCCAAAGAGTCTATCGTCACCTCGGCGACGACGCTGAACGTCTCCTCAAAGGGCGTGTCCGCATCATCAATGTTTGGAGGTATGTCCTGGTCCGATATAAGATCTACATGTGTGTTCTCATTTTTCTGCATTGCAGGCCTATTGAAAACCCCGTTGCTCATAACCCACTCGCTGTTGCTGATTATTTCTCCATCGATGTCGACCACGACCTTGTTTCTACACGCCTTATCTACCCAGATCGTGAAGGAGCCATTTTCAGCGTTCGTTATAACCCTGGTCATAAGTGGTACTTCCTCGCGGACCAGCGTCCAGACGAGGTAACACTGATCAAGTGCTTCGACTCCGATGTCGACAAGGCCAGATTGACTCCTCATTCGGCCTTTGTCGACTCTACGAGTCCCAGTGATGCACCCCTCAGGCAGTCAATCGAAGTCAGGGCTTTAGTCTTTGATACCGAGTAAATGGCGAGTTAGTAAGTGAGGGAGTTGTTGTCTTGTAGTCACAGAATAGTCAAATCCATGCTAATCACGAAAATGTATTTGATAGTCACTGTAAATCATTTTTGATGAGCCACTGATGTTTTAGCTATGCTGCAGTAAAAGTCAATGCAAACTACTCACTACTCGTCCCATGGTATTACATTTTCAACGATACATCAGAGTATACGAGACGGTGAGTAACAACATGGACGGCACACTGACAACGACCATGTTACGATATATCCACAGTTTGATCGATTGAATTTCTAGACGTAAATACTGAATAACTTGAAACATCGACTACGACCTTATGCGCCAACAGCAGAAACAGCAACTTGGGCGCCGTCAAGTCCGTTGGCATATTGAAATTGGTCTGAGTTCTCATACTAGGACTATGTCAGTCTGGATGCATTTGAACTGGTAGTGGCCCCTTACCTCCCACATATCTATAGCAACTTCACAACTTTCGCGGACCACACGGGGAGAATCCTCTCGTACCATCCATTCTTTGAGGTGGGGCAGTACTTCTGGTGTGGCGATACCGCCGAGTGCTTCAGCGGCTTCGTGACGTACCATGTCAGACTCGTTGCCGTCTTGTAGGACTTTAATGAGGGAAGGCACCGAGTGTACAGAAAGCAATTGTCCGAACACAAAGGCTATCTCATGCCTAAAAACGACATAAATTCAGGATGGGCCGGAATATCGTTGACTGACAACTCACTTGAAAAGAGCACTGTCGTCAGAGAATCCAGCCGCAAGGGCATCCACTGCCGCTGCACTACCAATATTCCGCAGGGCAAACATAGCGCGATAACGTTCGAAGAGGGGTAATTGTATATCAAGTAAAGTTGAGCGGAGAGCATCGATACTTTTTCCTGTGGTATCCTCAGGCTTGGGTTGACCGGAAAGCAAGCCTGACGTTGGGGGTGCGGGATCGATCGACGTGTAGGTTCTACGAACATTTGATGAGTATCAACGAGATACATTTCAAGGATCAAGCACACAATTCTATCCCTGAATTACCCGTGACAGTATGCTTTTTACCTTCCTCCGAATTATCCCATGTAATCTTCGCAAGTGCAATTTCACAAGTTTCACGTACGCTCCTGTTGGGATCGGATAAGTATTGGGTAAGCACTGGGATGGATTCTGTAGAAGATATCGCTCCCATAGCCTCAGCTGCCTATCTCATGTGAGGTCAACGCTAAGAATCAAATGATCGAAGAGTTAACTTACCTCGTGCCGTACCATGGGATCTTCCGTAGGGTTTTTCAGGACTGATTCAAGCGTAGAAAGGGCAGATGTTTGCTTCATCTGTCCCAGACAATATGCCAGTTCATGTTTCAGTAAGGCAGACGGATCTTTGAAGCCTGTTCGAAAACCTGATATGAGCGAACTTGCACATCAAAAAATGAGCTAATCTGACCTTCAGAAATAATTCTGACTGCATCTTCATTTTTGAGAGACTTGAGCGTAAATAAAGCACGAAAGCGATTATGAAGTGGGACGTTTCCAGAGGCGTTTAGTAGCGAAGCCTCGAGGGCTTTGAGCTCGGATGGAGAGATTGCAGCCACCATAATAACGGAATGTAGAAAGATAATTTGTCGGACTTCAAATATCCTTCTTCAAAGATCACCATGCCCAAGTCAAAACGTGCCCAACTCGGTGAGATCGATGAAAAACATTATCAAGGATGCGTTGACCATTCTTACACAACTTTCTTGAATCCCTTGCTTAGTATCGCTCACTCAGGTCTCCAAAAAGACCAGAGAACACAAAAATGCGCTCTTGGAAGAGGTTAGTACACCACGATTGCTTTCATAGAGCGATCATTGATGTTTGTCTAATGATAGGTCCAAAAAAATGCAGAGAAGTGGAAGTACTGCTGGTTATTTGAAGTAGGAGCTATGCGTAACGCGCATCTAAAAATTGTCCGGAAACTCTGGAAAGAGTACGTGCAGACATGCACCGGATGATTTCACCTCCTTACAACAAATTTTGATATAGCACTGCTCGGATATTCTTTGGGCGAGGGGCTGTCATGGCTAAAGCATTGGGTACGACACTAGAGGAGGAGCATCGTGAAGGACTGCATAAGCTAGCTAAGGTGAGTGTTTCCATTGGATATTTCATGATGCAACTGAAGGAACGGAACGTTACAGCAAATAAAAGGTCAAGTTGGTCTGTTTTTCACAGACTCAGAACCACAGGAGGTGATCGAATGGTTCGATGATTTCCGACAACCTGATTTTGCACGGTCAGGGAATATCGCCACTCGGACTGTTATACTCCCTGCTGGACCTGTAATGCGCGTACACTCGGATCCTCCAGAGCCATTCCCTCACAATGAAGAACCCCAATTACGAAAACTTGGCTTGACAACCTCAATGAAAAGAGGTGTGCCTACATTAGAAGCGCCTCACAAACTATGCGAAAAGGGGAAAGTTCTCAGCCCCGAACAGACCCAGCTTCTTAAGCTTGTTGGGGAGAAAATGGTTGTATTCCGGGTAGCGTTGTTGGCCCGGTGGGACTCTGAGAATGGTGAAGTTACCCAGATCGAGAATAGTGGGTTGGGTGAGGAGAAGGGTAATGATGAAGAGGATGAGGATGTGATGAGTGAGTAGGACACACTTTTGTATTTTGTTTCATTATGAGTATACCTCTTGTGTGACGTTTTACTAATTTTACAAGGACTCAACGAGCATCTACATATCATCTCGAGCTGCACACGATCTGTCATCAACGTGTGGGTGCAGAGTTCTTAGTATATCAAAAGTATAAAAAGCACTCTGGATAGTATCACGTGAACATGAAATACAAGCAGAATAAGAGCCGTATCATGAATGTGCCATGCAGATAATTAAATAATTGACCATGCGACTGCCTCACCTTCTGACTTTTCTAGGGTTATCTGCCCAGGTTCCCCTTCGAGATCCTTCTCTCGACACGACTGCCATCATGCCAGCCAAACCAGATTTCTCTTTCAAAGAGGGTGCAGATATATTCTCCCCCAAGGATCTCATCGAACTCGCAAGGCCGGGTGCTGGTGCTGCCAACGATGCAGGCGATCTCGTACTGGTCCCTGTTTCTAAATTCTCTTTTGAAGATAAGAAGTGAGTGTATACAATCGATCAACGCGTAAATGCTGACCATAGCCTAGAAACAACAAATCGATCGTGGTTGCCCCATTGGAATCTACAGCGCAACCGCTTGAGATTGTTCTTCCCAACGGCGGGGACGTATTCTGGCTTGACTCTCGAACTATCGCTCGCGTCACGGTCGTGGAAACGGAGAAGGACAAAGATAAGAAACAAGAAATATACTCACACACACTCAAGTTCGACACACAGGGCTCTTCCGTGGGTATCTTGAGTTCGGAACCACCTGCGTTGATCGGTTCATTCCCTGTTACCACCGCGGGCAACTTCCGCTACAATCTTCCATCAGGCATTCTGGTATTTTCCGCCTATGTATATTCCGACGGGGATCTCTCCACTGTCAAAGCCAAAGATGAGGCTTACGAGAATAGGGGGACCACCGCTCTCGTCTACGATGATACTTTTGAAAGGCAATGGGATACATGGGTGGGACCTAAACACCAGTCGCTATTCAGTGTCAGCCTTTCCAAAGGCTCAGATCAGAAATGGGTCCTGGGTGACAAATTCGTGAATACTCTACCAGCTGGACATGTGAGTTTCTGCCAGATACATATGATGCAATGATTGAGTGCGTCGGGTAATTAGAGTGCTCCTGTTGAGCCGTTCGGTGGAACCGACGATTTCGACATTTCAGAGACCCACATTGTCTACACCACGAAGGACCCTAACCTCCCAGGTGCTTGGCACACAAAGCAAAATGTACGCACCTCCATGAACTATTTTACTTGAATCTTGGTACATCGACATAGGTAGATATTCTTGGTGGATTTCAATGGAACAAAAGCCGTCGAATTGACTAGTGGGACATATGGTGCTACACATGCACCTGTATTTAATAAACAAGGCGATAAAGTTGCGTGGTTGCAGCTTGATAAAGATGGCTATGAATCGGACAGGTATGTGAAATTTTTGTATCTGCTGGATGCTATATGAGTTTTTATCTTACTTGTTTGTTATCAGGGCAAAGGTCGTTATCTACGATCTCACAAAGAACGTTCGCTATACTTTGACCCAGAACTGGGATCGCTCTCCAGATGTATTGGCAGTACGTGTCGAGAGTCTGCCATTGGGATGCGGGCATTTACTTGCTTAATATAGTTTTCAGAAAGCGGCGACTACCTTTACTTCACCGCGGGTGACCATGCAAGAATCAAAGTCTTCACATTGCCTGTACCCCCTACCCCAAGTGAATCGACGACGCACCCTTCATTCCCCTCCAAGTACTCCACTCCCGTGCCCCTCACCGACTCTCGCGCGGCGTCTGGTGTCCAGATTCTTTCCAACAATCGCCTCGTATTTACCTCATCATCCCTCACCACCCCTAATGATGTCTTCATCATTCGTCAACTTGATCGTGTAGAAGCAGACATATCCAGCCAGGCAGCCAATGTATACAGAGGACAGCTAGAGCAAGTTACCCGCTTCACGGCAGACTCGCTTCAAGGGAAAAATCTCAGTGAAGGGGAAGAATTTTGGTTCAAAGGCGGGGACGACATCGATGTCCAAGGGTGGATCTTGAAACCCAAGGGCTGGAAAGCTGGTGATGAAAAGAAGTGGCCTATCCTTCTCCTCATTCACGGAGGTCCGTTAATAATCTTGTGTACTCCTTCTCCTATCTCACACAATTTTTTTAGGCCCACAAGGAGCTTGGGAAGATCAATGGTCTACTCGCTGGAACCCGAATGGTGGGGAACTTCTATCTATGTGACATCTAATCATTGATATCTGCTACTCAGTCTTCGCACAGCAAGGTTACTTCACAGTGGCCATCAATCCCACTGGATCCACGACATTCGGTCAAAGTGGGTCATGACTCAAGTTTTTGTGTTTTGCGGTCGCTCACCATGTTCTTTCAAAATTCAGACTTTACTGACGCTATCTCAGAAAACTGGGGAGGCAAACCATTTGTTGATTTGCGCAAAGGATGGCAATATGTTTTGGATAATTATCCAGAGGTACGTTAGCATGAGGACGGTGGTGATTGCTAATACCCTAATGAATATGTCTCACTTAGGTTGACGCAGACAGGGCTGTGGCTGCAGGTGCTAGTTGGGGTGGATACGCCATAAAGTATAACCTATAAATTTTGGTCTTTGGTCCAGACTAACCATCATTGATTAGCTGGATACAGGGAAACCCCCAGTTCGGATTCAACTTTAAGGCTCTGTTCTGTCACGATGGAGTACGATATATCGGTCAATTGTCTCATCATGCTTTCTGATATTGCTATAGGTCTTCGACACAAATTACAATGGGTACTCAACTGACGAGTTGTTCTTCGTGCGTTGTTTGAGTAATATATCTATCTTAAATACTGATTCAAATCACTAGTGCAACCACGAATGGGGAGGAAAGCCCTGGGAGGAGAAAAGCAGGGCACTGTCACTGAAGTAAGTTTAAGTTGGAATAGTCCATATAATGTTCTAATATAATTCAATTGCTTTTAGGTACAGTCCTTCGAACACCGTCACGAATTGGTCGACCCCTCAACTTATCGTACATGGAAGCAAAGACTATCGCCTCCCCGAGACAGAAGGCATCGCAGCCTTCCATGCTTTGCAACAGTAGGCGTTTCAACTCGATGAAAGAGATCATTGCTAATTATTGACCACCCTCAAGGCTCGGTATCCCTAGCCGACTTGTAATCTTCCCGGATGAGAACCACTGGGTGCTGAACCATGGTAACAGGTATGGAACACTAGATAAACCTGCATAGTTTTATTTTGCTAATTTCGGATTGTAGCCTGAAATGGCATTACGAAGTGCTCAGATGGTTTGATGAATATGTGGGTGTCAAGGAGTAGATAAGGAAGTATACGAACCAATCAAGCTGAATGAGCATATGATATGATATGCTAACTGCAAATTAAGAAAGGAAAATAATTGCAGGGTGCTGGCTATATTTCTGAGACGCGTCATAATCAACGCGTTGTATTGCAATCAGTTTTGTGCTATCACGTGGTTTATTCATTTATCTTACCATGCGGGCGGTAGTCACGGTACCAGAAGTTATTGGCTTGACCCAAATTTATATCTCTGCCACAGAATCCGCCTTAAAAGGCCCAACTCAACTAAGTGAAATGATGCGTTTACCGCTCTCTCACTGCTTAGGTTTAGCGCTAAAATGCCTCTCACAAGTCACCATGTCGGTGGAACAAGTCACGTTGGAAGAAACGTAGACACAGGGCTCGTAAATGACACTCAGTCCACGACACCGAGCGCAATAGCGGATGGGGCAACCCAATTCACGGCAGAGTTTCTTACCCAGCTGCCAAGACCCGGAGCAGGCATCGCGAATCCAGCAGGCGATCTCGTTTTCGTCCCCGTAAGCCAGTATTCGCATGCGGACAAAAAGTCAGTGTTACCTTCTTCATTACTTGATCTTGATTGCATTGGCTAATCCTCGTGAATATAGGACCTACAAATGTGTATACATTGTGTCACTAGTCGCACGCGTCCCGCCTCTCAAGGTTCCTGTTGAAGAGCCAGGCGACGCATTCTGGCTCGACTCTCGTACACTTGCTCATATATCCGAGACTGGTGAAGAGAAGAAGAAAACCAAAGAGCTTTATGCATTATCGCTAGCGTTTGATGCTGGAGTTGATGGTGATGCTTTGAAGGCCTCAGAACCGTCGGTTCTAGTGGGTTCATTCCCAACGACCACTGTCGCTAACTTCCGTTACTCTCGAGCTGCAGAAAGACTAGTACTCTCTGCCTATGTTTATCCTGATGGTGATATCTCAGCTGTCAAGGCAAAAGACGATGCATGGGAAAACAGGGGTACCACAGCCTTGGTGTACGATAACACTTACGAGAGACATTGGGATAAATATGTAGGGCCTAAGGAATCTTCACTTTTCACTGTGTCACTCCATAAAGACAGTCAAAGAAAGTGGGTACTCGGTGACGATTACGTGAATGCTCTACAAGGAACGAAGAATGTAAGTCTGGCGCCCACGAATGACCTTAAGTGAGCTCACTATCTAATCTTCAGCACTGTCCAGTGGAGCCTTTTGGTGGAACCGACGATTTTGATGTCTCTGATAGTCGCATCGTTTATACCACAAAAGATGCCTCTTTACCAATGGCTATCCACACGAAACAAGATGTTGGTATACTTTCGGTGTCAGCAAGACCACTTCACTCATATGTGAATGCAGATATTTTTGGTGGACTTCACGGGAGAAAATTTAAAAGAGCTGACATCTGGAAATCAAGGCGCTACACATAATCCAGTCTTCAATAAGCAAGCCGACAAGGTTGCATGGTTAGAGCTCGATGAAGATGGCCATGAAGCTGATCGGTTTGTGTCATATGGCGTATATCTCAAATTGCTGCGTTGATAGACCTTATTCTTTAGATCTAAGATAGTACTCTACGATCTTCAAAAAGATATCAGGTTCACGCTTACGCCCGATTGGGATCGATCGCCTAGTACATTATCTGTAAGTGGTCAGTCCGATGGTATGTTGTCATTCAGCTCATCATCTTCTTTCCACGTAGTTTTCGACCAGTGGTGATCATCTCTACTTAATTGCCGGCGAATATGCCAGGGACAAGATTTTTGTACTTCCAGTTCCACCGACACCGGAACAATCCTCTACCAAACCTGAGCTCGAGTCTAGATTCACGACGCCAATAGCTCTAACCGATCATCACAGTGCTTTGGATATCCAAGTCCTATCTAACAATCGCCTTCTCTTCACCATGAACTCGTTTACCGCTCCGAATGATGTCTATGTGCTTAACGGTCTAGACCGCATTGAATCGGATATTCAGAGTCAAGTCTCGAGCATATATCGGGGAGAATTGGACCGTTGCACACAGCTTACGACAGACAATATGAAAGGCCTGAATTTGCCAGATGGTGAAGAGTTTTGGTTCAAAGGTGCCAATAATAAAGACGTTCAAGGGTGGTTGTTCAAACCAAGAGGCTGGAAAGAATCTGACAAGAAAAAGTGGCCTATACTCATGATGATTCACGGAGGTAACTTTGGTTTGCTATCGTCTCTCCAATATATCAAAATACTTTACTAGGTCCCCAGTGGGCTTGGAAAGATAACTGGTCCGCACCCAACTGGAATCACATTTGTGAGGTTTGACCAAAGATATGATAATTTCAATTGAACTCAAATAGCCTGCCCGCGTTTCTAGTGTTCGCTGAACATGGCTATTTCACAATCGCCATGAATCCTACAGGCTCGACTACGTTCGGTCAAGGTATAATATTACTGGTCTTTCTACTTTCAATCTTGATCCTCATGTATTCTTCCGTGTAGAATTCACCGACAGCATTACCGGAGACTGGGGAGGAAAACCATTCGTTGACATGCAGAATGGGTTCAAATACATACTAGATAATTATCCACAGGTAAGTAGTATTCTCTTTGATCTACATATGGACATGAATGACATGTGGTAGATTGACCCAGAACGGGCTGTTGCAGCTGGCGCAAGTTGGGGAGGTTATGCTATCAAGTACGATATTTCACTTTCTTGCACGTAGCATATTTAACCTAACTGCCGACTTGTAGCTGGATTCAAGGTCACCCAGAACTAGGTTTCAATTTCAAAGCAATGGTGAACCATGATGGGGTGAGTCTAAGCTACATTTATATGCAGTCCAGTAACATCTAAGACTGTATTGCTAGATCTTTGACTTTGAGTATGATCAGTATTCAACGGATGAACTCTTCTTCGTATGTCCTTTGTTTATCCTTCTTGCAAATGGGGCTCATCTTGCCATTTCGTAGTTCAATCACGAAGCTGGTGGGCTGCCTTGGGATAGCAAAGGGAAGGAGTTTTTAAAGAAGTATGAAGCATGTCCCTTATTCGAATGGGACACATTTTTTACTAAAAGTATCAGGTTCAACCCTACAAACTTCGTTCACAAGTGGGCAACGCCGACGCTTTTCTTCCATGGAAGCAAGGATTATCGCCTCCCTGAGACTGAGAGTATTGGTGCATGGCATGCTCTACGACAGTAAGTCCCCGGAAGCTGGCAAGGCATGATGATGATATTCATTACCCTATAGGCTTGGGGTTCCTAGCCGACTTGTAATATTCCCCGACGAGATTCATGGTACGCTGAATGGCGGCAACGTGTGAGTATTACCCATTCTTGACCCTGAAATTGGTATTGTGAACTCACAGGTTCCGATTGATAGTATCAAATGGCACGAGGAGACGTTCAAGTGGTTGGATCAGTACGTCGGATTGAACACATAGCGAATGGTCGAATGTTTCTTTGGTGTAAACTTATGGCGCGTTGAATCTGAATGTAAGTTAATGTAAAATTCTATGTCGAGATAACTTGGGGGTTCCGTGTGCAAGGAAGAATCAAGTGCCAGGAGCGATAAGAGGAAGTGACGGATCTTTGCTGGACGGGATAAGCTCTTATCTTTACGACATCAATCCATCCGAGCCATGCACATTCTTAATACTCATAATGCTGTTCGGTCCTTCTTTTACCAAATGCTGTCGGTGGCTAAGTATATGGCAAGCTGGTCAAAATTGGAACGGGTAAACAGTCTTATAATCTCGTTGGGGACAGGTTCAGGTTGAGTTCTGACTTGAGCTTCGTATGTCTTGAGATCTTCTCTTCACAATTCTATAATACAACTATCGATCGCCTTGCGACACACGGTAAATGCCATGAGCTTCTGTTGTTATAGGAAAACAGCTCAATTCCTCATTGTCCTCCAGATATAGATCAGTTGAGCTGCAAACCCTCAATCATCACCCCATCGCACGTCCCTATTGTCCAAATTACCTATCCATTCATCATCATATCATGCTTATTGACGGCACAGAGGATCGTAAACGATTTGTGTTTAACGAATGGGTTAGAGATCCTAAAGGCCCCTATCTCACAAAACCACCTCCACACGGCAAGCGAACGACAAATGGAATGATATGGGGCAACTCTTCAAATGATTTCTTCTGGATCAGACGCCTACCTGGAGTGGACGTTATGACCATCTGGTCTCGCAGTATGATACGGCAGTTCGGTGAAAATGTCTTGCATGAAGAAGACGATTTTGAGCCCGATCCTCGTCAATTACACCCATATCCAAGATTAGGGCTCTTAGTAGACGAATCGCATGCTATCTACGTCGGCATGGTAGATATCGCGAAATATATTGAGCGTAACGTCACCAACGAAAACAACAAGATCGGACTAGAAAGCGAAAGCTCTGATGTGAAGGGGGAGAATAGTGCGCAGGGAGATAACGGAGATATCAGCGCGTCAACCGCCATGAAAGTCGATGATGAAGGAGACCAGACATTGAATGATTCCAACGCGAAGAGCGAAGACGGTATCATTGAGACACAAGACGGGACAACAGTCAACAAATCCGCGGATGAGATGCTGCAATCTAATAATGCTGAAAAGATGGAAGATGTTCAGGAGAACTCTGGTCTTAATGCTGGAAGGTCCGAGCTTATCGAGAAATCCCAGATGGCAAGTACGGACGAGGTCGTTATATTTGCGTCACCCCAGAACGCCGAAGCACCCATCGACATAACGCTAACAGAGAGCACCGTGCCTCATGAGCGCGATCAAAGAGAGCTTCCTGAGGAACGGATCCAAAACACTGTTGATGTTTTGCAAGATGCATCGATGGATGTCGAGGATTCTGATACGAATGAAAATGAAAGGGTGGACGACATACAAGCAAAGATCCATGCTGGCACTTATGCTTCAGAAAATGCACCGGGGATTGTGGAGAGTTGCAAGGTAGAGAAGGATGAAAGGGACAACGTCAGCGATCTTGCACCTAAGAGTGCACAGATGGACGCAGATGGTCTGATTACAGACTCGGACGCCGACGGTAAGGTCGATGACACAGAGAAGGAGGATGAGCAAATACACGCGAAGAGCACTCAAGTAAACAATATCGAAAAGGAGGGTATTGACCCCGGTTATTCCATGGTGAACGGTGAACAACCGGACGCAGAGGCTCAGGGTACCGAGAGCGGCGATACTGAGAGCGACCCCTGTAGCGAGGAAAACGAAGACAACGATGAAGAGAACTCGTTAGGTGGTTTAAGTGAAAATGTGAGCGTCACACCTCTGATAACTTCCATGTTGCATTAAGCCATACTTACTTCAGCAATACTTCATCTACAAACCTTCTGTGGAGAATTTCAAGGATAAGCCAATGCAAGCCGAAGACGAGAACATTGAAGAAGACGTACGTATTCAATGGCTCACGAAAAAGCATAGACTAGGCTGATACTTCATCCTCAGATCGGTATATGCGCAAGGTACCGCCCTAGCTCGTTGCCAAAGCTCGAAGAAAAAATACCTAGTGAATTCTTCCCGGACGTCCTCCTCGTTAATGATCCAGACGGGGTCACGTATGGACGTGAAAGTCAACATTGGAAGACCCAAAGAGATGGTTTATGTGAGAAACCGAAGTCTAAACCAATTAGGTATCAACGTCGTTATCCCCGTCCCGATATGACTTCGACGGAGGACTCGGTAAAGTCGACCCCTCTCGTGGCCAATCTCGACTTATCATCCGCGCCTCTCCTGGGGGTTGGGAATCACTCTCGCGTACATCGTGGAGCTCTACGGCCGCCACATCCCCTAGTTGCCAATACACCCACGGGTGAGCTAGCTGTAGCAGCGAAGGTATCTTTCCCATACAACTCTGCCCTCGAACTACTTCAGAACGAGGCGAGGATTTACAACGCGTTCCCTGAGCATTTGATGGAGCACTGGTCAGGACTAAATCTAGTCACTCCCCTCCAGAACCCCGTTCCAGTCGGTGCAGTCGTGCCAAGATTCTACGGATATTACTATCCTGTTGATGAGAATAATATCGAAGGTGAAGATAGAGGAGCAGCCGACAGAATGAAGTGTGCATCGCGAAGGTGGGGGCGTAGCCCCATCTTATTACTGGAAGAATGCGGTACGCCGATTGAACCGCACGCATTTGGACCGGATGATAGGTGAGCTGTGCAGTCAGTTCGAAACAAAACTATCCAAGCTGATGGATTTTTGCATAAGGTCTGAATGTTTCTCCTTGTGCCTTCGTCTCCACTATGCAGACTTCATCCAGCGTTCTTTCTATACGCGCAATATTTTAAAGCAACCTGGCCCACTAACAGAACCGCAGCATTTACGCTCCTGGAGTACACCTGCGTTCCGTGTCATCGATTTTGGTCGGGGCGAGAGCTGGAATTTATATCAGAAAGGAAAAACTCTGTCCGAAGCTTCAAACGAATGGTGGGCAATGAGAGAACACGAAAAGCGAAAAGCTGAACGTGAACTGGAGATGACGCCTTTCGCATACCAATGAATGGCTGTTGATGAAACGTAAATAATAGAGCGAATATGTCCCAACGATCCCCCAATGTTTTCTGATCTTGCTTCGTCGCTTTGTTTTTATATTGCTGTGATCTATCATAAATAGCAGATTTGGTCAGATCTTTTCGTGTTATAACTAAATTCAATATAGCCTGCGTTGTGACTGGTACATGACCGGTACATGGGTTTAAGCTTGCAACAGTGTTTGACATATGATGATACATAGAAAGATACATAATAGGTTATTCAAAATACGAAAATAGGAATAAGAAAATCGACTACACTTAATTCAATGATTAGACTCTCCTTGCTTTTGGTTTCTCGCTAGATAGTTTATTTGTGCGTTTAACGGCAGTGATTTTGCGCCTTTTCTCTGGTATCGCAGTGGTTTTTGTATTTCCTCGACGAGCAGCTTGAGAGATATGCTGGACCCCATACATTTCTTGATCGTTATTCTGCAAATCATTACAGATGATTCAACACAAGCGCTGTCACGATATGCAAAGAACGGACCTCAGGACACATCATTAGTTCGTCTTCATCGTCTGAATCTTCCGCGAGAGAGTGCCCATCTCCTGAGCTTTGGCTATTCTCGACTTCCTCTATCTCACTTTGGCTTTCGATCTCATCCTGTACTGCTTTACGAGTACGCTTCTTCGTGCGCGTCTGTCGTGCAGAACGCGATGGGGGAGCTTCCAAGTTGACAGCAGGAGCTGAGGAGGATGTAGACGCAGAAGGCGAGGGGTCGGAAACATTGCCATCAAAGCTCTCTTCTTTTACAGGTATCTGTACGACAGCCTTTACGCGTCGAATGAATGTAGTCCGAGAGCCTGGAGTATCCCCATCTCCATTGTGTTGTGGTTCACCACGAGAGGGGATTTCCACTGAGAAGGTTTTACCCTTCCCAACCTTTTGCCTGATATTCCTCTGGTGCTCGCTTACTGGCGTCGGCAGTTGTGTTATCGCAAATTTTCCGGGAGCCCTATCACGCGCGGCAGCTAGAGGTTTATCCATGAGAGAGCTGGGCCTTTGAGAGTCGGTTTGAGATTTTGCTGAACTGGTGGAAGGCATATCTTGAGAAGCGGGACTCGCGGACGCGTAATTTGAAAGGTGATGCGATCTTGACGATATTGACATGTTTGTGTCTGTGTATCTGACCTTTGGAGTAAAGGGAAGCGATGGAGTACTTGTCTGGTACTGCAAGCGAAAGCTGAATTCCAGTGGGAGGTATATGCGCGCATATAATCACGTACGTTTAATTGCTCGCTTATAAGCTCGTCTACCCTCAAGGATAGCTTACATCGTTCTTGTTCGACTCTCAAAAACTGCTCTTTCCAGCTGATGGCCTCCTGTCGTGAGGTCTCTTCTAAGCGTAAGCACTGATTCTTCCATTGGGTTGCTTCATGTCGGAGCTGAGCGATGGTCTCCGTTTGATGTTTTACCTACGTTTTTATCAGCTTAAACTGCATATCTGCAACAAACACTCGCGTCGTACAGTCATATCAGCCTGTTCTGCCTACAAGTAACAAATGTCAGTGGGACATTCAGCAAGATGATAAGATGCAATACCGCTGTCTTCCAAGCACCTGCTTCTTCTTTCCAAACCTGTTCATCGCTCCTGGATGCATGCAGAGCCTTGAGTGCATCGTCACGTTCACGTCGCGCCTCCCGCGTCTCTGTGGACACTTTCGCCACTTCGACGCGAGCCTGGTCTTGAACTGTTGCAAACTAGATGAGAATGGATGTTACTTGTCATTTATGTAACTGTAATGAAACGTAAGAACACATACTGCGAGATTTGCAGCTTTGGTAAATGAAGCCAAAGCATCAGTAAGGATTATGGATGGTGGGGAGGATGTGGTTGCCATCGTCGCAGGTCAAGTCGCGTCTCGGCAATGTCCGGTTTCGTCCGTCTGCTTTTGACTGTAGCAACACCGCAAATGCTGGTACAGCTACTGCAAGCATTATGATAACAATAGCAACACTGTTACTTTCACAAATACTCGAGGTCTCTCTCCCCGGATTCTAGATTTCTCCACTCTTTTTTTGTGCAATTCGGTTTCTGACGAAATATGCTCCAGTTTTCCTGGATACTGACGTTCAGAATCAGGCCTGACATCACACTGACGCAATACGAGACACAGTCTGAATACGACCCCAGCGAGTATATATACTCCAATCCAGAAGTACTATCAAACATCCCGTTATCTAAACACTGCCCATAATCAAACCTTGTTCATGATGTCCACCCTACACGAAAGATCCAAAGATGCCAAAAAGCTAGGCAGCGCTACTACCAACACCGATCAGACGTTCAAGAGGGAATATCAGGTTGTTGGTAAACCCGAAACAACAGATCATGATATCCATGAGGATTTTGTGAAGAATCCTCCTCAGGTGAGAGCCTTCCCCCTGCTCACTTTCATTCCATATCCTTATCATGTTAGTAGAATATCCCTGATGGATATCCTTCAGAAACCTCTCAGCCGCTAGGAAAGAAGGAGGGTGCTTATGAGAGGGAGACTTTGCAACCTGGTGTGCTGGGGCAAGAGGGAGTAGGAAGGCCCAAACACTCTGACGTTGAGGGTGAACTGATTAACGAAAACTCTGTTCACTCCAATCGATGATCTCCAGGTGTAGGCTCTTGCTTACTGTTCCAGCAATGATGAAACTGTAAAATATATTGTATTTCATACCATTTTGCATCCATTTATCATACATTCTCACCATATCCTGATCATGATATCCTGATTAAATGAGATACAGAGCTGCGTCGAGTTTTTTATTTTATTTTTTCACGCAATAAGTTATGCAATGCTCAGATAATACAATTTTTACATGAGCTTAGCGCTACCATTCGAACTACCCTTTTTCAGTCTACGTCCAGTGGCGAACAGGAAGCTATCCAGCAATGCTGCGACAGTCAATACTCCTCCCACAATGGCACATGTTCTGCTAACGTTTGAGCATACAATTCACAAAATGTAGATCACGACACTTACGAAGTAAGGAAATGCGCAAATGATTGCCTACCCTCCGAGTGGACTACAAGAATGGGTGATATTTCAAAGTTGAAGAAAGCCCCTGCAGTGAGAATCAGTATATCACGTAAGTCTGTAGTAGTCTGCATATAGAAACATACCTGGCACGCCAGAAACCCCGTGTTGAGTAACAACACCCTCACCATTATCACCTCCCTGTGAGCCTTTGGATAGATCTCGCTCAAAGTGTGTGGCGCTATATTGGTGGGTATTGATCTGCGATCTCAAGTTAATAAACGGACCAAAGTAATAAGCATGAGGGGCCTACGGTTTTCCCATCAATAGTACGGAATTGCGTTGATACGACTTTGAGGAAATACTGGAACATATATTGCGCCTTATTCGTCTACAGTCAAACTATCATTGAGCATCATCTTCTTGATTTACTATTAAAGTAAAATCAAACCTTTGCATTTAGTCCGTCCAGCGGATTTTCGGCTATGCCCATCCGCTGCTTCATGTCCTTCCCAAGCTTCGCCTTGTGGAGATTATACTCATCGTCGGTCATGAACGAGAACTCATGGATGACATGACTAAAGTCATGTCGGTTGTTGTCCTCGCGAAGGTAAGGTACCAATTCATAGAAGTTCCTAGAGCTGCTTTGGAATGACCTTCCTGGCGAGACATTAATATTCCCGATAACCTTGTTCACCCGAAGACGACCAGAGATATTGCATCCTTCCTCCGCTTGGTCCTTCAGCTTTTCCGACCAACCTTCAGCCACACACTAGCCCCGACAAAAGACATGATTAATGACTTCCAACTTTGAGTATCCTTCAAGCCTACCTGCTCAATATTATCTGGATTGTTAAAGCTCCACCCACGGTTGACATAGGCCTGTCGAACATCCTCGCAGCTGTTGCAGCACCCGCCTTCGGGCTCCACACCGCCGTAGCAAGATCCACAGTACCCGTTAGATCGTTGATCATTGAGCTTGTCTATTTCATTGCGTAATTCGCCATTGCGAGCGCCTGGTACAGGCCCGCCTTCAGGTGTAATACGTGTCTTGTGGATGTTGTGCGAGACGTCTCGTTGTTGCTCGCCAGAAATATCCATAATATCAAGACTTAACACTAGAGTAGGACGTCAGCGAAGAGTAACAATGCGATCAAGCAAGTGAAATCATCAGAACAGCCAGATAGGATTATGGGAAAGCAAATCCGGATCAAAAAAAAAATTGAATCTGTCAAACTCACAGTAACATGGAACGCGCGGGAATGTCATATTCATCCTTACACTCAGTTTTTCCCCTCTACTCCTATCCACGATAATTGACGTATCGACATTGACTGTCCGATAATCGAAAAATTCCATGGCCGTGAACGCTAAAATGATGGCAGCAGACAGAATCGTCACTGCAACCAAATCACCAGTCAATTACACTTGCAACTAACATCTCTCCTCTCCCATAATCTCACACTAAGGTAAGATCAGACTTACAGAAAGCGCCCGTGCGTGTCTTGACTTTCACATCTTCTGTTGTCTGTGGGACGTTAGTCAATACGAGTTGCCGACGTGTCACCCACGTATGAGACCAGTGCTTCTGTAGCTAATTGCTCACCTTACCAAAGGCATCGACGCCTTTAAGGCCTGCCAGAAAACCCTTCGCCATAGGACACTATTCCGAGCCTGGTGAAGACCAATAAAAATGAAGAAAAACAGAGAAATATATCAGACGAAGAGCTGTGTGGCTTGAGAGAGAGCACTGTGCTGTCCAGTTACACACGTGACTGGGGTAGCGACGTGTCACTCGGAATCATCTCGCCTTCGGAACGAGGATCACCTCGCAACAAACCCGATCTTTCTCCTCAGACTCGTGTGGTCTTGCCTGTGGTCTGAGCATATCCACAACTCTAGTTCATTGTCCCAAGGTAATAGCTAGATAACAAAGGTGCTAATATTGTACATCATTATTGTAGTCCAATCCTATCAACGCCTTGCTTGACCTTGCCAATCAAATTCCTGACGCCATCTCTGATTCCGTCAGCTTGCACTCCCACATTGTCTGAACTGGACCGATAAACACCACTTCCAGCAGGTCCACCAAGGCTGACATTTACTCCGCCAAGGTTGAGATTCATTGCTGGAGCTGTACTCGCTGATTCCGGTGGAGGTTCGTACACTGATGCAGGAAAAGAAGCGGCTGCGGCACGGAACATCTCCAAGTAACTATTGACACTGGTCAGAAAGAGATCAAAGTGGAAAATAAAATGCGCCCAGACCTCGAAGAATTATGCACGCATGTTCCGCCGAGTAGGAGCCTTGTTCCATTAGATTCTTGATTTAGCAATGAAACAGTTCTTGCTTCCTCATAAGTGGTACCACCGATCATGAAGATTATAACGTCCTGGGGCCTAGTCCACAATTAGCATCCTAACACATGTCGCATGTTGCACAGCAAAACATACCGCTGAAGACTAGCATTCGGCCCTGCTCCATCCAAAAAGGGATAACTGGTGTCCTTCAGTCGATCTCTGAATAGGTTTTCCAGAGTTTGGGACAAATGGGGTGTGTGCTGCGTATACACATTTTCGACGCCCTAAAACGGTTTACAATCAACTTCCATTGAGAATAAATAGCAATAGTACAAATTACCTTTAGTCCCTTTAGAGCAGATCGGCCTTTAGCAAGCAATGACTCGGTCGAGAACAAGTCATCCTGACGCTGGTCAGAGCCAGAAATATTTAGCAATACGTAGACAAGCTATGATATGATTCAATTATATCAAATCGATTGTCTAGATGGATGAGAAAATGGCCGTACTCGAGCATCCTCCTGTGGAACACCATTAGAGAGAAGTAGATTTATGAGAGAGGCAATGTTGCTGGTCTGAGTCTTTTGATAACGAAGAGCATACAGAGCAACGATGCGCAACTTGTTCCATGGATTGATACTAGGATTCGTGATGATAGCCTGCACGTCCTGTTAAGAATGCTATCAGAGTCACCTTAACATAAAGATTTTGTGAATTTTACTCTGTAGTCTGATCCCGAGCTTGTTGCTAAACCCTGTTCTATCTCTCCCACCTCCAAGAGTTTATCTCTTTCAACTAGACGACTCAGCTCGCCCACCAGCGTAACGTGCTTGCTTACGTTCCCTCCGAGCTTCCTGAACTCTGGATATTCTTCGACAAAACGCTTCATATCGGATATTGAATTGATAGAAGACGGTGATTGTGCAAGGGAACGAGTTTGATAAGATTGAACATAGTTTCTCAGCGACGTGCCGAGGTCCCCGAACGTCGCGAGATGATGGCCTTGAAAGAATGGGTCGGTGGAAGTAGTAAGGGTGATTTCCTGTTAGCTGTTGGTTTACGCGAACTTCACTGGTGACGACACAAATAGCGCTTACTGTAAGGTCCTGTTGGATATCAGGTACCATGCTCAAGTTGACGCGACCATTTTGGATACCCAATAGCTCATGTACCATAGCTTGATATGTCCATTGCGAGAGGAGAGGAGTAACTGGATCGTTCCTTCTGTCAAGAATTAATAGTACAGGGGCAACCTGAGTTAAACGGAAGTCGAAGAGGCTAGATTCTGTTTGTATGCGATTCTGTTGGAGTGGATGGTAAATATGATGCTTTCCAAGGCAGTGTGCAAATTCTTGATCCCCTTACCTGGACTTCGATTGCTAACTTCTTGGCCATGGAGCTCATCCTTTCATATCGGATAACGGGCTTCTTTTTTAAACTTAGAAGCACAGCTATAATGCCTTGCACTGAACGATCCAGTGCACTGGCGTCCCATAAGTTAGGAGATGAGCCATATAAAGGCTTATCAGCAGTTGGAGTATGGTTCAGAGAAAACAAAGACGGCAATAGAGGTGCATAGTCCGCGAAGTATTCCTGACATCTCTATCAGTTTACGTTTACTCCACAAAGAATTAGAGAAGCGCAAGTACCTGGACTTCCTTTACTACTTCATATTCATCTACTTCAGCTAGCCGTTCGATGGTGGCTTTACTCAACACGTTGCTGAAATCTGGACGTGTTTTTCATGAGTAAGCAATGCACCGTGCACACGAGTCACCCCAATGATTCACCCACTGACACAGATAGTACTCCCCGTACTTTGGCTCCTTAAGTTCCGTTGACAATGCTTCGATACTATCCGCACTGGGTTGAAGGAAACAAACACATTTCATGTGAGGCATGCGATCTCTCTTTTTGTTGTCTATCCGGTCTGTTAAGTAAACTTGATGGGACAGCAAGGTAGACTGGGTCGAGGCTAATGACACTATAGGCGTCTAGAAACGTCGACAAGGGCAGTATATTAAAGCCAGATGTAAAATAGATCCTTACCGTATGAGTATCCAACAGCAAGACTTTCATCGCAGAGGGTACTGCCACTAACTTTGCGATGTACGCCTCGACTGCCCTGACCACGTCCATCGTTGCCCAAAACTGAGTTATCCTCGATTGTATTCACTTGAGTAATATAATGACGCTGGAGTTGATAGTAAATATATGTTGCTTTTGCACTTTGCAGTGGAGGTACTTACTATTCCGAGTCCAAGGCGATAGTTGAGCCGAGTGCTGTCAGTGCCACACTGAACATTTCCGGCGCATCATCACATGACCCGCTTACGTATCACAGTATTCGTTACGATCACTTCAAGTTTCTTAAGCATCCGAATGTCCTGCGACCTCAAGATAAGGTGTTTGCTCGTAGTACAAGTCTTCATTATCACGATCCGTGCTGTTATCAGTTTGGTATCACTGTGTCATGGCTGCTGACCTCTTGCCTCGGGCAAGCCCATAGTCAGACGACTAAAATTTATCACGTTCCCGCTCTCCATATGTGCTTTCCTCCATCGATATCAAGATATAGTTTTGCCGTTGCTCGCATTGATTAATTGGTTTTAATATCCCTTGCGTTGGAGTCTATCACGACGGTCTGCATAGTGTGTACTAAAACCATGAGAATGGCTGCGAGATACATATACCCAGTCTAAAAATTTCCTCCCAAGGTCTGTCTCGACTTCTCCTCGCCCCAAATACCCGCTTGGCGCTCGCGTATGTCTCCTGTCTGTGATCACAAGTTATAAAATGCCTCCAAGGGTGGATAATCAGACAAATTGCATTGATCGGTCTTTCGCAGATGACATCGCCATCTGTTACAGTGTTTTCGTTTCCGCAAGATGCTTGCTGTCAGGCCGTGTTAGGAGCCATTTTTGCGACCACTCGGACACGTTGTATGTCTCATTGCATATTGTTGGTTCTGGGATAGGCAATGTATGCAAATGGGACAAGAGCGCAAATTCCTCCGCTAAGCCAGCTTGCTTCGTTTGGTGAAATAACGTAAGGAAATGGGCCATTCGAGGTAACTTCTGTTTACCTTAAAACTTTGACGCCACATATAGACATACTACATACGACGGTGTTGACTCTGAAGAGACCCTATGTGCTTTTCCCCTGAGACTTGGCTGCTCATGGAACACGATGTTGGGGGACTGCTAGTACATATGACAGCGCAAGCAAACCTCCGTCGCAGCATCCAGCCGCACCTTTCCTCGTATCACTCCAATCATTTCGAAGCCTTCATTTCCTTGCATTGTCGATCTGCCAATCTTTTTGCCATCTCGTCCTGATTTGGCGGATGTAGTCAAATTTCGCGTGTAGCTGGGATGGGGTCTTATACTTAGAGTTTGACTTTTCAGCAATGGAGATGTCTTTTTGTGCGCCTGTGGAGAGCATCAAGTCATGTAGCCTTCATGTGACTGCGAGACGTGTTGTAATATGGTACACGAGATCGTTGAGCTCGACACGTTAGGCTATGTTAAGCCACCATGGAACTGCTCAGCACTGTGCGGTAACTGCCGACCGCCCGACGACCACCCTTGCCCACTCCGCTGCTCCGCACCACGAAGCATAGGAGTATCCCCGAAGAGTTATATCCAACCATCAAGCCAAGGGACATACGCTAGTCCAATCACCATGCTTATTTGCTGAAGCGCTCGAGACGTCATCTCGCTTTCACCCGTCTGGTATTCTAGGTCAGGGTACCAGTTCACTAGAGTTTTTCAGGACATAGACTTGCTGCATGTTTTCCCTTCACTGCTCTTCAATGCTATTTAACCTCCTCCTTCCTGCAAAATGTCTGCCCACATCTCCACACGACATGGATTCCTTCGCCCCGCCCTCCTTCTACTATGCTGAGCTCAAAAGAGCACTTGCCGAGCAATCTTTCGGACTCGCTCGGTTCGACGTGCTCAAGTCCTCCTCTCCCCACGAAGCTACGGCTTTCGTTACCCTCTTAGAGGGAAATACTATAAGGGTGTCTTTGACCACCCGTGGATATCAAGTACGCGTGTTCTTGCTTTCTTACGCCATGTCAATTAATCTTTCTCATCAGCTCGACGTCGGAGATGGCTGTGACTACAGCAAGAGAAGTCAGATATTTGAATCTATCGAAGGCCTGCTGCAGTCCGTCAGCAACATGTATGACAGAAGAAGACGAGATGTTTTGTTCTCGAAGCTGGCTAATCTGTCATGATTCTTACACGAGTTCGCATTTGACCCGCAAAAAAAATGTCTTACTAAAGACTCGCTTCAGTGTATGTTTCTTTTCGAGTGTCTTATCCTTCGAACACACATCGCTTATCCCGCCATTGTCATTCAGAATACCGCATGCTAATGTACTTATTCTATTACACTCTTCCCGTAATCAACGCATGAATACTTTACGTTCTGTCTTCTTTACTGACGCAGACCGCTTACCAAGGGCCGCTCACTCATCAACAAGGTGCTGTTATCTTGAACTCATCTTTGCCGTTCCTTTAATCAGATAAGGATTTATTTAAGACTACATCAAGGGACTTACGGCACCATATTGCCTGTTATTCAATTGAGTGCTGTATTCCGAGCCATATGCACAGATTACGCCTTCTTTCCGGTATTAGAATTTCCCGTGACTACTCAGCCAGGCTGCGAGTTTGCCTCCTTCTCTCCAGTGCACTCTCATACATTTCCCTCGTGAACACATGCTCTTGCCTCGCGTCACTGATCACTTTCCCAATCCACTCCCTTTCCCTGTGGTTCCGTATGCAATTTGCCCACCATCTGTCCATGCTGTCCCGAATACGAGGAGAGTTCAATTGATCGTTCTCGCTCTGCTCATTCAGGACATGCAGTAAAAATCCTGCATTCAGGTACTCGAAACCGAACTCAGACAGGCATTTCAAGATGCGCGTGATACGCAGATTATTGTGGGATGATCCTAGTCATTGCCAAGTTAGTATGTCAGCAAGAGACCATCACGTTCGCTGGACTTACGAATGAGATTCTTGTATCGCGGAGCGTAGTTCCGTGGAGGTATCGAGCGACCCAATAGTCCGGTCTCAGGTGACACAAGACGCATCCCGTAAAAGTCGAGCATGAGCTTGTATGAACTCAGAATTCGCCCGAGGATGACAGGATCCGCCTTCATCTTGGCGATCTCGTGGGGCTGCAAGACTTGTGCTTCATAATTCATACCACCCTCTTGGATGGGAAACCTATGTTCCATACCGATAGAAACATAAGGCGATTGTGTGATTGTCAGCTGAGAATTTAGTGTAGATCGCAGTAGGAAGACTCAACAGCCACTGTATAAATCCGTGGTTATACTCCAGCTCGTCATAATCTCCCATCCATCTGAGGAAAAGTAGTGATTGTGAAGTTAAACTGTCATTTGGATGTAGAGATAGTCCAAAACATACTGATCGTGGATTTCTTCGATCAAGAGATCACTAGGCTGGCAGCGCAGTTGGTTGGAGTAGAACTTGTGGTTTGCCAATAGCTTAGAGTCGTCGCGTGCTCTTGGATAACCGTTGAGAAATTCTTGGACATCGCGAGGAGTGGTCATGGTATGAAAGTGACTGTGGCTAACAGCAGACACGAGTAAGAGTCGATGCGACAGAGAAGCCAGCATGGCGTCTAAATCAAACGAAGGAAGTCGACCTCAACCATATTTTTCTGGCTCCGTTCAATACTGGCGCAATTGAGAAAGACACTGTCGTCTCTTACAGGGCAACCTCTTCCAGGATTTCGATGCCAACGAGGCTCAACATTAAGCTAGAAGTGTATGCTTCGCACCACACTGAGAGTGATCCGATGCAAACGCCTTGACGAACACAAGCGCTGTGCATTGGTAGTAACTTGCTCAGGTCTGTCAGGTCTGTGATCCAGATATCGAATCCGAGTCGAGAGAAGTAGTGGATATACAAATATATGGGCAGATAGTACTTCTGAAGATGCTGTCCGGTCGCGGCCTCTCTTCACCTTGGACGTCCATTCCACCTGTTAGCTAGTCCTGTTCTGCAATATGCTTGCCATATAATGACAAGGTCTTTGAGCTTGCCGCCTTCGCCACAATTCAAAGTTCAATCTGTGTAGGCGCTTTGTTATTGTTATAATCTCCGGAAAGTCGGGGGTTTACTGTGGTCTACAATGCCTGATTTCGTCAATTTACCGGTATTCGTCAGTGTACAACTCGGTTCTCCAGATTAAGTGGGCCACGCCACAATGATCTGTTGAGTACTAGGCCAAGGCTAAGACGTTGAAATGATGGTGGTCACTGTAGCGGTTTGTACATCGGTGTTTTATCAACCATTTTCGGTGTCTTATTATTTAAACAGCGCTTAGGAGGGATTCTTTTAGTTACCGGAGCTTTTTGAAGCTTTGCACAGTCTAACGTTGCTGAGACTGTTCTGATGGTGTTCAATGAACGTCGGCTTCCACTCTCGTCATTGCACATGACTTTACCTAGTTACTTATCTCGAACTTTACCATCCGTGCCAAACTTGAACCGTTGGCCACCTAAACAGAAATACTCAAGAACCCCGTCGGGAAGGTAGAGTTTATGGTTTCAATTGTCCCCTCGGGCATCCAGCCTGACAATCATGAAATCATAACGAAGTCACTTGGCAGGCGGCGGTCTTTTTACTTTCCTCAAGTAAGCTTTTCATATTCAGTATTCAGTGTATAGGCTAGTCGGTATAGGGGGGAACTTTAATACCCCCCTTTTACACGTAAATTCACATACGTGCTTAGTTCTGATCGAAGGCCTTCGTACTCATGCCCAGCGGTCATAAGAAGGGCGGTGGTTCGGATTTACACAAATGGGTCAGGCATGTCTTACAAGGTGCCCGCAAAGACCGCAGATAGATAGGACATGATAAGTACCTCCATTATTTTTCATCTTATCGTGATGGCGATCCTGATACCTGTGCACGGTGTGTAGCCCAATAGGAAATGTGCACTGCCATCAGCGCCCGTTTATGAATTCGCCGCTAGAATACCTTGTCAGCATTTGTTTATAACTGTACCAGGTAATTTCCTTGTCATGTATAAGCGTAATGCATTAATGGATGATATAGAGTCCGTGTGGTGAATTCTTATTCCCGGTTTTTGTTTTTAATTATCACTCATACTACCATGAACTACAGCAGTGGCGATACATTACTGGAGCTCAAGAATTATTCTCGCCTGCATACTCTGACTGACTAAATCGAAGCAGCGGCTCAGTTGTCCGTACTCGTAGGCGACGTGCATTCGGTACTGAACGTCCCTCGAAATCGACACGGCCGTTTACCCTACGTTGACAATGCTGGCATTTCAATGACAGTGATAGTTAGTACCCTGGATAATACCTAAATACAAATCCACTTATCTTGACGTTTCATTTCTACTAGTAATCACGCGGCCAATTTTTTTTAATCCAGGTATAGCAGCACCAGATACTAGTTGCGTCTTGCGGAGCTGGAGAACATGGTTTTCTCCTGTCAAAAAGTTTAACGCAGGGCGTTACTCCTATTTCACAGGAGAACTATGTGGCACCTGTGCGTTCGGACGCGTGTACTCCCTGTTTGCGGATATGAAGTGTAGCGTGCCCTCTGCATTCGCCATTCTTGGATAAATTCTCTCTTTGATGTGAGTCGACTCATTGCTTGGGGAAGTTAGATTTAAAATGGGACCATGCAGCCTCGACCCTGAGCGTCAGATTGGTGGAACTTGTCAAGCACTCGAGAGCTGCAGGAAAATGGTAGGAAATTCACATGTTCAATTCATGGTCATAACGAGGAGTGCTGACCATTAGTTTAAGTTTACGCAATCTCGTCATGAACAACAGACGAAAGCAGCACATTATTTACGTTGGAGCAGGCAGGATTACAGTAGGCTAGAGGTGCCGCTAGTGCACCCCTATCTTTCGTACGTTGGCTGAAGACATCCCACCGTATGCCAGCATAGCATGTGACCTAACATATATTGCCTTATCAGTTACTGTTCTTACCGTAATGAAGGCATCAGAACAGCACTCAATCTTTACGCGAGTCTCTCAATTGGCAGCTGACCCCGCGGGTTCATCGTTCAGAGAGCCCGCCCGCGGGCTTTCGAATAAACTTGTGAGACGTTGACATAGTCTTGTTTGTATATTCTCCGGAGTTAAGTGATGACATATGGAGGCCAGGTAATGTTCTCTTAATCTAAGCATTAAACATGCGAGACTGATTATCGTTTTTGACAGTCTGTCGTTGGCGGAAGTGGGGCCAATGCTTACTTGTACCAAGTACCCGCGCTCATTAACACTGTGAACAAACATAGGTGCCCGGCGTTAGTAGTGGTTAAACACAACGGTATTCCCAGCACTACGAACCTGTCAAGGCCTGTCAATGGACGTCATTGTCACCAGGGTCTGTCAGCACCTCGGCACTTTGATGTTCTTCTGAATACTCTAAATCTGTTTGGCCTACGGTATGGTGATTTTAGATCGGTTTTACACGGTTCCCCCGCTATCAAACGTTTGTAGAGGCACCGAGTGAGAACGCATAAAGAAACATGATCTGTATAGGAAACTCGTCGGTCGTATATTTACGTCTTGGAAGGACGCGTGGAAACAACTTTATGTTTGAAGCAGTGCATTGTCGTCTCACCATATACTTGCTTCTTTGCGGGGTATCATTTCCTGCGGGACCGCGCCGGAGACTTCGAATTCGAATGGCATTCGTGTGTAATCAAGCAATGAATAACGAATGACAGGATTATTATTCGAAGTTTTAGTCTATATTTTGCTTCCGTGCAAGAAGACGGCTTGGACCACAGGAGAGTGGTGGGTATTTTTTTATTTATTGAAGCCTCAAACATTCCTTTCGTTTCCTCGCACCTGGTGGTATTCGCAACTATTACTCCAGAATCGTTTTGGGTATTTCCCAAGTCCTTTCTCTTCAGGCTCGTACGCGTGCTCGATGGCTAGCCCTAGCTTTTTGAGTAATACGTATGGGCCTCTTTATGTAGACCTTCATATCCATGACAACTCCTTCCCTGAAAGAGTCTCGTGAACGAGGAATACATTTTGATACCGATTATACTCCAGCCACGAGTGATTTGGATTCTCCGGTCTGACCAGGTGCGTCAGATACACATGACACATGTGACATAGGGATTCGCAAAAGGCACCAGGTGGAGTGCCTATGACCACAGTGAACTCTAAAGCCAGTGAGCGTATTGCAACTCTACCTCAAAGAAGCAGTGAGATTTCTTGTTTCACGATACTCCACACTGGCCTTGGAGGGTCTCACAGTGGGCTGAACAGTTCTTGTAGACAGCTTGACGTGTCTTCCAGAAGCTAGCCATCAAGTGTAAAAAAAAAAAACCGAGGTCCTCGATTTAGTTTGAAACTGCTGCGCGACAGAAGCCCTTGTGTGCTACTTACCAAAATGACTACCACCGAAGCGTGAACTAGATTCGCAGCCCAAGGCACACACGAGAACTCCTCATGAACTCATGATTGGCAGTTTTTCCGATTTGATAGACCTTCCACCGGTCAGAGAGCAACCAGGAGAAACCGCATAGGCGGAACCTTTTCTGGAGTGACCGAGGTCGGATCGGCAAGTGAGACTCACAGGCGGTGGCATACCCTCGGTTAACGATTGCTCGCGCGTGTTAGCCATGATAATATCAGATATCATAGAGGGTCATCACGACTACCGCATCGCTTTGCTTCCTCAAGCTGCATATCAGGTTTCAATATTTGGAAAGACGTAAAAGGGCATTCGCAACAACACCATGCGCCCACAATAGTAAGCATGCATTGCACGATGTCGTGCTCATCAGCTCATGATATCTGTTGAGGAAGTGGGTTCATTCGAACAGCTATCCACTGTTATGTGACAGGCTGTCTCACTAATACGGTTTCAGTTTGTGGGTCAAGGCTTGCGACAGTGGTAGAATAAGTTCACGGCATGTCCCCAAAAACCTAAGGCCTAGTAAGGCCCAGAACATTGAGGGAAAAACAATATTGATTCCTGTAGCACGGACAGCCCGCCCACTCGGACTGAATCGTGGGGTATGCGAGAAGGCTGTATAAGCAAAAGTGAGTTTTGTACTAAGCTATGGTTTAGCGAACCCCGGATTCGACATAAATCAAAACAATAAACATGGTGTATTATCGAGTGGTATAATTACTTTTTACTGGTACTGCAACCGAACTGGACTCGGAGGCCGATAGGGTCAAATTGTTAATAATGTCGCTGTCAATGTGGGCGTACATACACACATTGATGTAGTTCAGACTAAACCAAAGAAGCATTGCGAATAGTAGGATTTGGACAGACCGCCATCGGCGGCGGAGGCTTGTTCTCGTGTCGAGCAGCCTACCCCAAACGAATTGGGGCGCTCAGCGCTTCTGATGGCATGCCAGACAGTTACGATTGACATCCCGAACGCCGAGCTGCTAACGTCATGGGGGTCATCATACTACATCATCAAAACTGGCATACGCAACGCCCGGGCCAAAAGATGTTTCACGTCCATGAATGCATGATACAAAGGCAAGTGGACAGCTATTGTAGTCCTAGAGGTCTTGCTTCAATGGTTCAAAGCTGTCGCATAGACATCATGTTACCATAAACAAAAGCGCCACATATTGTGATCCTGATTACAGTAATCCACTGGACAAAGAGTGGATCCCTTTCATCTTTGACTCATTCGAGTCGCGGCGTTGATGTACCAACCTCGAGGCTCTGACGCGTACAGCGTCGGTGAGAAGACTGTGCAGTGGCGCAGGCACCATTAAACCTAGAGGAGTTCACGAATCCAAAATCGTATTTTGCGCGGTTGATGCACTATGCAGCTTGTTGGAGCTAATCGAAACGAATGAAATGAACTTGATAGAGCTTACAGGATAGGTGACCATTACGGCTTATACCTTGTGCTCCTGCATGAATCTACTAAGACAGTTAAGGTGACAGCACTATTGCATTTGGAAGCTATTTTGTTCATGGTGTCCCTCGCTGACAGCGTAACACATCCAAGAACAGGCAAGTCGCCTTCAGCAATTTTGAGTGTATTGAATCCTGAGGGTCCACCTTGCAGCCCTACTTGAACTAAGGTGACTTGTAACCTGTCGTCAAGGAGTACGTTGAACCAGGATGGTAAAATTTAAAGCGCCACATCTAATTCACTCACCATCTATATCCAGCATTGGGAATAATATACACAATCCTTTCATGTTTCAGTAATTTGACCCAGGACGACGGAACGGGAATAGCTCAAGAGATGAGATATCATGAGAGGTACGAACAGTTATTTTATCGTTTTTGGATGGAAATAGCCTAGGGGCTGCGATACCTCCGCAACACGTTTTCATGATATCTAGTAACATGCTTATAGACATGAGGGCGGCAACAGATCTAAACCTGGGGTAGTCAACGACAGAGATGCTTCCCCACGTAGGCTATGCATACACCTCTGAGTGAGAGATGTACAAGTGCAGATACATTGACGCGCGTCAATACTCAGGTCTGTGCCCTGGGGCACCAACCATGCCCGAGATCGATGGGATCACGGAGGCAGCGCTCGATGTCTTCGTGGCGGTATCTGGGCGGTTAGGAGATAATTTGGAGAGGGCACAATCGCATTAGGTATTGGTATCAGTGAAGATGATCAAACGACAATTGGGTAGCAAGTTTGTTTCCTGGTTTAGTCAAATGTTGCTAACATCCGCTGGGCCCGGTCTTTAGATTTTGATGTTGTCAGCCAAAGACGGAGCGTTGACGGTGTTCGCAAGCATCGGGATGTTGAATACAGGAACGCAGTACTGTAAACGTGCTTATTAGATGAAGATAGATGGTGAAGTTCGGTCACCAGGCGAAAAACAAATGAAAGCCGGAAAATGATCCTTAGTGACCGCTGCGGCAGTTTGCGGACGGGATTTACCGATTTCCAGATTGGGAGAGGCTTGATCACGATCATCTTGGGCGAGTCGCTGTGGGGACAGCAAGGTTGGGGAGCGCGTGGTAAAAGATCTGGTTGATGATTTGAAGCTGTTCATCGGATGGAGAGCACACGCTGTGCAGGGACACACGGGTTGGACGGGAAGATGTGGACATAAGGCGAGAAGAAGACAAGACGACAAGTGAGCAGGTAGACCTGAAGAGGGCAACGGCGAGGTTGAAGTAAAGGAAGGGCTGCGATTTGCTAAGGGAATGGTCGCGAAATGATTTTCGTGAAGCGGCCAATACGAAAGGGAGGCATGGGAAAAAAGAGGGATGGTCTGGGACGAATGGGAACAGGTCTAGAATGGAGGAAGGCGGGCCGAAGAAGGGAAGGTGATTGGTTCGGCAAACTAGAGACGGCAGTAGGCGAGCAGCAGGACTACAGACACGTAACGGTAATCAAAGCATTTGGTAACGGGTGACAACTCCATATCGGGACATGCCAGCGCAGGCTGGGGAAGGGAACAGCCGAGGATCCGCGGTTAGCAGATAAAGGTGGAAATAGCAGAAATTGAATTGGAAACTGAAAAATAATATGTAATAAAAGGCGTATTTGCGGAATATCGGTGCGGAAGGGACCTTCCAAATCGGGACGAGCGGTGTGGACGACACGGAGGTTGGAAATCAAGATGCGAATCACCCAATCAAATAAATAAAGACGGCTCTTTTCTCTTCTCCTTTCCTTCTCGCCGTGTTTTCTGCCTTCACACCACAGACACCCTGCTTCCCGTCGTCGTCCTCGTCCTCGCCGCCATCGTGCTCGCTGTCGACGTCGTCCTCGACACCCCCATCCCGCTCCTCTCCTCAGCTCATCGCTGGTTCCATTTCGGTCCAGGCCCGTTCTGACCCACTGTCTCTGTTTCATCTTCTTTGTTGATTCTCTTCTTTTCAACAAAGCCTCTTGCATTTAAATACTCGCGCCAGCTCCCTTCTACCCCATTCTTCACTATTTCCCCAACATGGATCTTCAATTCGACGAGTCGTGGTGCCCTGTATGCGACAGGCAGATCATGCCAAAGCGCTTCCTTGTTCCTGTCCCACCACCGCAACCACCATCATCAGGCCCCTCTGCTCCTCCCTCATCGCCTTCCTCTTCTCGTGAGTATTGCTCATCACCCCTATCGCTTGTGGCGCTCATCTTTGTTTCTCTAGCATCAAAAAATCAACAAAGCGACAGCACCATTACTCGTCAAACACGCCCAAAAAACAATGCATTGCGCACAAAGGGTGGTGGCCTGCTTCAGGGCACAGGCCGTGTCAAACCAAATGGCACCATCAAACGCACGGACTCTTCATCCACTGGCAAAAACTCTCAGCCCCAAGTGCAACAGCCGGCCGCGAAGCCCGCCGTGCCTATAAAGCACCGTACTGTCATCGACCAGGGCCCAATTCCTCTTTATTGCTCTGACGAGTGTCGGATGACTGACTTGAATAGAGCCGCTGGTGCCTTCCACATCGGATATAACCCAGAACGTGAATCACCGCCTCTACCTCCAGTACCCCATAATTCGTTTAGTGGGATGAGGAATGATGTGGAGGATGACTCGAGTAGTGCCACTGGTTCTTCTGTGGAGTCCCACGTGTCTTACTCCGCCAGCCCAGTTGTCTCTCGTAGCATGGCTACATTGGCAGCTCTGTACGATTTCCCCCCTCTTCCAGAAGTGCCCACACTCCTATCAGCTGCCGACAGTGGGTCTTCTTCAGATTCTGAATATTCCCATGAATATCAAAGTGGAATCATGATGGCTGCTCGACGCATTACCGCTGCACTTTGTCCTGATCCTGCTCAGAAGCGCAAGGCTTACAGCCACGAGGTACCTCAGCCGCGCAAACCGATACCTGGCTGGACTGATGGCAGTGATGCATGGCGATCGTCTGTCTACAGCTTTGCGGCACCATCAGAAAATAGCTCTAAGGAAGGTACAGGAAAGGCATATTCATCATTCTCAGCTTCGCCTCACCGATCGCGTGGCGTCTATTCAACCATAGGCGAGTCGAGCACGCCCACGGGTCGCAACAACTCAGTAGCATCGCTACCTACCCAACGACATGACTCAGATCCGCTTCAGAGGTCAAATGCATCGTACACCGAAGAGCTCTATGCCAAGTATTCCCTTTCGTTATCCCGACGTTCGGAATCTCGAAACGCGTTATTCCCATCATCTTCTGCTCATTCGCTTCCTTCAACGTCAGGTTCATCACGACGACGCCGCGAGGTGTCTTTAGTGAAGCCAGGTGCTGAAGGTCGCTTGTTGGTGCCAGACTTGAAGGCGCATGCCCATACTGGATCGAGTCTCAGCCTGTCCTCGTCGTGCGATGGTACATCAACTACTTCTTGGCGGTCTGGGTCGAGTTATCCTGCCAGTTCTAGGCCGGGCGTTCGCAGCCCACTTAGTCGCTTTCCAAGCGAAATCAGCGAAGACAACATGCAAAGTGAACAACGGGATAAGATTTCTGCCTCGCTGCCTCCACCACCGCAGAGGCCTACCGTACAGAGTGTGTATATTTTTGCGTAGTGCCTATTATATGCGACTAATCATTACTCATTTCCAGCTCGATCGTGGTCTTATGACAATGTCAAGACTTACCCCGTGATGATGCCTCCGCCAAAGAAGGAGAAGCGCATCGAGAAGCGGGTGGTTGACGGAGAGGAGAAGGACATTGAGGTTGAAATCGAGATCCACCAGCCCCTCAAGCGGTTGTTTTTATTCCCTGACAAGGATGTGACCACCGAGCGTCGTAGGTTCTGAATGTGTTGTCGCATATCATTCTCTTTGCAGCATGTCGTATATTATCATTCCTATACCCCGGATGCACACTACCGACGATACAAGCTACAGCGACGTCCCGTGGTTCATAATTCTGCAAGCATGTTTACGATATACCCACCCTCCATGGCACTACTTATCGTCCAGCATGACCGACTCTTCGGCCACATTTTTCACACTACATTCATATCACTCCTATAATGGCCTCATCGTCTCCTATGCTTAATTGTGCTGCCTCACCACACCCTTGCGGTTGCAACTCCTATCAAAGTTTTCTCGCCTAATTTCTTCCTCACGCGTCACCCGTGATTAAAAGTTCAATAACGAATTTCTTCTGTACCCCCTATCAACATAGCATGTACCTCTTTTCATTTTTTCCATTTGTACTATAATTCTTCATTGATTCTTGTGCCATTTGTATATTGTGTACTATCAGACATTCTCAAGGGGATGCCATTCTATTGTATGACTTTCCAGAACTCGTTTAGCTCTTGGACCTAATACTTTTTCACTTTCTCGACTGTCGTCATTTGCATCAATTGTTTTGGTTAGTTGGGTATGTAATTGGTGTTGGCCAATGATTGTGATATTCACTTTTTGCGGTTTTTCTACATCCTTTATTCCCCGGCTTCGAGTCGTCGCTATCGCATTGCACTGCAGCTGTTGTAGGTAATATATGTACATTGGTTTATATTTGTGGTTTTAGCAATGATACTGTTATGACAGAATTCTTCATTGGAGCACAACGGAATGGAACTTGTGAAACGATACGGAATCGGGCCCTGGTAGGGAATGTCAGCAAGAGCGGTTATTAAAGCCCTTTCATGGAGCATTATGACGGTCATGGAGCCCATCGATTTTTCTTCGACATGTCTAGGCTCTTCGAAGTGCATCCGGCTTGCATTCTTGCCATAAATGTCGAGGTGAATGTAGAAATCTGAACGTCCATTCTTGTTACTGAAGTTCCAGGTGGCTGTAGCAGGTGCTCTAGGTTCTAGGTAAGTAACTAGTCTAGTCCAAGCCGAAGTAATCTGCTCATGGTAGCAGCGCTGCAAATCACAAGTATGACAAGTAGTTACCCGTTTCATCCTTGCGGTATTCCGTGTCCGTGTCCTCTCAGACTATGACAGTAGTATCCTATAGTCGTGATGGGCGCATGACATAACATCCATGCAACGCCCTGCCCCATGCCCCACAGTCATGTCCACAACAACCTGTAGTCATATCCCAAACACGGCCCATACCGATGCAAAGCCAACCACCATCATAGTCATCTGATCATACCAGCTACGCAAGATGTACGCCCCCGAGGCAGGTGCCGCAGTAGTGCTTTTGGTGTGTGTAATGCCGTCTCGGAACATTGCATAGACAAAATGATCAAGACGGGCGTCCGGATCTCGTCGTTGTTCCAATGAGGTCGGACTCCGAGATGACTCGGGTCATGCTTCAGCACCTATCATATCGGTCCTAGCTAAGGTCGCCTTTGGACTTAGCAGTTATCAGGTACAGTTATCACATGTGTGGAAGATAAGCTACTAAAAATGCTACAAGTTCGGAGTGTTGATTCGCCCGGGCCCCTCAACAAGAACGTTTCCGTATCGAACACTCTAGCTCCTGTAGTCGCGATGACTCGAACTCAGGTATTCCCTTGGTGAGTATGGATTGGGTCACATATCTGCGCGCGCAAATTCACGCACTTTATTTCATGGTAAACCGCTCAACAGGATAGGCGGTATAGTGATAGTAAATCTATATCTGAAGTTCCTCGCGCTCTCTAGTGCTATGTATAGCTGTTCTCTCCTGTCATCGCGCACCGCCAGGAGACCCACCACCTGTAGTTTTTGCAGCGCGCTCACGATAGCTCGGAATGATGCGAATTGAAAACGTCTAGACACTGGGAACACGGGCAAGAATCAACCGGTGCCAGTCTCCTTAGGACTTGACGCGCACAGCTGTTGGACAAAAATAATCAGCAGCTTTTCTGCCAGCTCGCGGAGGTGGATAATACGCTTACGGGTGCAGGGCACATGTTAAGCTATATGCAAATTCAACTTTATCAGTATCAAGTCGGTCCCCAGCGGTCCCTGCTAAGCGGGCCCCTCGTTCCTTGGAGTAAAAGGTAAAGCATCCATACCAGACATGAGTTGATCGGTCACGTGCACGACATGCATCACCAATTTTGCCATTTGCTATGTTTTTCTTACAGATTATTTTCCCCTGCGTGGCACCCGCGGAATCTGTATCTCCTGGAAAAATAGAAATCAAGTCTACTGGAAAATTTCTCTCCTGAAGTAGCGCAAGTTAACTTTTATCCTTTTATATGTGCCGTAATAAGGAGAAAAAATATTCGTTGATATACACTGATACACTCATGCTTTAGAATGGATTTGTCGAAGTTTCTCCGATGCTCTATTCTACTTCTCCTATTCATCACGCCGGCCCACAGTCGGGAAATCCTCGATACATGTATGCATGAAACGCGCCGTTTTTCATACTCGAGGACATTTTGGATCAGCTGAGGGGTATAACTTAGATTCAACGGGTAGGACGGGGGGGGGGGTATCTCTTGAGAACGTGTTTCATTTCAATCATGCGATCTCGTCTCATCATCTGGCACCGGGGTTCTTCGAAACGGACAGTCATCGCCAACCATCCAACAAATCACATCTGCAAACGGTCCATTGGGCCTGTGAGAGCATGATGATTCAGCACCATGGAAACTCGAAATTTCTCTGGCGTTTTCTGTAAGCCGTTACTCACGACTTCTAAATGTTCCTACGACGTTCTCCTTGGACGGCCATCTATTTCTGTCAAACGTTGTATAGCTAAATCTGCTCGAGTTCATTACGTCTAGGATCAATTACTCTTTTGGTGCTGTATGCCAGTCACTGTTCGCGGTCTCACCCGCAACCATCCAATTGGGTACTACGCCAGCCAGACGCTCAAAAGTGAGTGCGAGTTTCGCCGAACGTAACTGATCATCGATCAGCTTTTTCGGAACTCACAGGATGGTGTTCCATGTTTATCCGCCTCGTGCATTAAACTTTCAGCCCCAATGTGGGGTAGTACAGGAGTAACCGGTGGCTTCCTATACTTCTCTCACAACTCATGGCTTCATATACAATCGACACCCTTAGGCACGCCCATGGCACAACCACCAGAGCCTTCTTAAAAGGATCTTACTAGGCTGGCATGCCGCAAAAGTCTTGTATTTTTTGCCCACCGTTACAGTAAGACTTAGGGTTGCCACCACCCTCAAGCGTTCCCCACGGCTGCTAGCTATATTCGGGCAAACGTACTGTAACTATATCTTTACTAAAAGTTGAGACACTTGTATAAAGATGGCGATGTGATCCAAGTCAAGCAATCGGTTTTATACGGAGTCCCCATAATTACACACTCGTACAGCATGTATGTCATTTTTTCGCGTAGTAGATTTCTATCACTCATGTCAGTTGATGCTTGGCTGTGAGCTTCTCTCCCATCGTTGCAGTGACGTGTCTGAATGCGGGGTAATGATGAAGCGACCAAGGAAACACCCTCAAGCTGCTTCGAAAATATGGATGCTGTGCGTCTGCGGGGAAACTTCGAAGCCAAACCGCATCTTGATCATCCACAGCACTAGGCTTGAAACGAAACCGATGCAGTCACTGTTCTAGCTTGCAGATACGCTGTATGCATTACGAGGGGAGAGATCCACTAAAAAAGAATGTGTTAAACTGGCCTGTCAGTATGAATTGACCTATTAAGACATGTCAGACGCCAGTCTAACCATGAATACTTCTCGTAACTCGCCGTATTGTTAATAGGCCGTAGAAAAGCGCGAGTGAATTCTGAAGGCACAAGTTAGCACACACTTAGTAGCATGACAGCAGAGAGCTGTATATTTACCCATTAACGAGAGCATTATAGTCGCTGAGAAAGGAACTATCAACATCAATGAGGCAATTCCCGAGGCTTACCATTGAATGCAACACCCCTGGAAGGATGTCAGAAAGTCGTTATTGCAAGCCAGCACGTTACACTACAGTAACAGCGGCTAACCACTATCTGATGCTGTCAGACTTCGTAACTGCTAGCATCGCGGAATGGTTGTACGTACTCTGACGGCCACCCAACACTGGATGACATACTGGATGGTTCCCAGTAACAGCATCGCTTGTAAACCAATGCAATCAGTATCAGCTATATCATGATCATGATGGGCTGATCAGCCGCGGTAGATGGGCATAGGTCAGCCCCGCGGAGATTGAGTAAGTACCTTCTCCCGCCAAGTACCAGTCATTTGCTTGTGATAAGATGTTCACAACTCCATGGCCTAAGCTCGGAGAAAACACTGCCAGCGCATGATACCATATTCGAAGACAGCTTCCCGTATCAGACGCCGTTCAGCGACGTTGTTGCAAGCGTGCAAGGGATGGAAGTGGGATGAATTCGTGTAGCATAAGCCTGACGATACGCATACATGAAGGCCGTCCCATTACTCCCATGCCATCTTGACTGTGTGCCAATTAAAACTTGTCTTCAAGTTGCTGGTAAACCGGGTCGTGTTGTGTAATTGAGGCCGACAGCGAATCTTTAGCAAGCGAACACAGTGCAAAAACCCGCCAATACGTAAAATGCAAAAGTTACCCACTATCAATCTCCAGGTACACGATACCTTGGCCGCGGATGAGCTCGCAAGTCTAACAGAGCCGGAGAACACCGGAGGGGGGTCAATATCGAGCAACCGTCCCTGAGAACGGTGAAGTCTGGAGGGGGAAAGCGGGCCGGGGGGTTCGGCCGGCGGTTCATGAGTGCATGGGCAGCAGCCCGACGGCATCGCGCTCGCGCTGCTGTCACAGAGGCGTGGAGGAAACCTGAAGGATATATACGAGATTGGCTTCTTCAGGAAGGTGGATGCTTGGAAAGTCAAAGACATCATTTGTATATGAGCCCATCAGGCAGCTTACACGATATGCGGTGCCGACCTCTGCGATCTGCTACATGTGAAAGGATATAGGCCAAAGAGAAGCGACAGCCTGGGTAGATGACGGTAAGGATGCAGATGTTAAACTTGTTCATGGCTCGGTAACGAGATTCGATGGGTAATAGCACATGAAGATAGGGTTGCCATGTGGTCGCCAACGCACTAGTAGACATTTGAGACCTGTCGAAGGGCTCACCCCTGGTGTCGCTGCAAAGATAACCAAGATAGAATTGTCGACATGGGTGGAAAGTAACTGACCAATCACTCCACCGTATCATGTGGGTCGGGGGGCGATAGTCCAGATGAGGCGAATGGATCTTCTCTTCTACACGAGTATGACATGGACATGTCAACGGCATTTACATGTAGAATAATGGTCTCCCTGCATTCGGGAATCAATGTTCAGACAGCAGGATGAAATTAGATCAGGAAATATTATATTTACCTAAGGTCATTCATTGCAGGCACTCTATGGTAGAAACCATAGAGATAAGAGCCTCGGTAAAGGTAGTGGAGAAATTTTCTAGGTCGAAAGGGAGAGAAAAACGCACACAGGCTCCCTGAAATATTGGTCACTGTAGTTACGGTTCTCTTTTAATAAAATTATACGCCTTGATTTCCGGTACAAAGCTATAATGTGTTGATGTCAACACTTTGGGATGAACATGTACAGTTGGTGGTCTTCTTACCTGCGAATAGCAACAATGGTACACTGTCTCTGTAAGGTGTGCAGTCATGGTCCATGCTATTGTCATAACCTTCGTCAATGGTCTTTGGACGCAAGCAAGACTGGGCGTGTAATCCAAGTATAGGTCACGGTCTGCAGCACGTCCCACATCGTCTAATGACGCTCCTAAGTCTTCATCTTCACCATCGTCTCAATCCATAATCCAGTTTGCCTGTCTTCGCCCATCGCAGTGTCGAGAATTAGTACTAGTAAGCCACGTTGTTGTTCAGATAGCTTAAAGGCTCCGGGGTTCTCGCTCTCGGCAGCTGAGCTTGTTGACGTCGAAGGTGTGGTGCAAGCTGAGAGTGTCGACGCTCGTTATGGTCACCTCAACGATGTTCACGACCACGAGGGCTTTCAAGTCAACAACGATATCTGTGGCCTTAGAGTAACTTTGTCGAAATTCGACAAGAGGGAATGGGTGATTGAGTACTCGGTAACGAAAAATTCAAGGAGCGGCAAAGAGGAAATGTGAAGACGCTTTGGTGCCCGGGATCCTCAAGTACATGGTCTATGTTCATAACCTGATAGTGCGAGCCATACAGCCGGCGCTGGGAGGGCCGTTCTTGCGTAAGTCTACCAGGAAGTGACCTCAGTTCATATTGACCCATTATCGTTACTTTTTAGTTCATACATCTGGCCAAGCAACACAAACACAATAATGATAATGTTGCAGTGGTCTATTTCTATTGTAATCATAAAGACCAATCAACACAAAAAGCTAATAACCTTGTGACAAGTCTCTTCAAGCAACCTGTTCAAGATTTCACTCCTACCTTCGGGCGCGTCAAAATTGAATACAAGTCTCATCGAGAAAAGGAAGTCCAACCAACACTCTCCGAGGTTTGCAATGCATTAAAAAAGGAAATCGCTAAGTTCTAACGAGTGTTCGCCGTCATTGACGCTTCAGACGAGGTCTCCGAGGACGACAGTCGTGCTGAGCTTATCTATAGTCTCCAAGCTCTGGGAGCTAGATTATTGGTAACTTCTCTCGACATTGCCACCATAATTAGAGCAGCTCTTTGTTGCAACCATCGTATGGATATCCATGCACATGATGATGATATATACCAGTACATCGAAGGCCGCATTCGCTCAGGGAACCTTACACAATTGGGTAGACTTCTAGCTAGTCGTCGTCTCGATGTAAGAAGAAAAATTCTTAACCGTCTCCCAGAAAAAGTACAGGGCATGTGAGTGCCTTTCAGGTACCGTATTATGTTCGTTTTATCTTACAATACTGTCCAAGGTTTCTGCTATGTCGTTTGCATCTGGATTCATTGGCTTGCAAGGTCACACCTCATGCCGTTCTGGATGCCCTTAACCATTTACCAAAGGGATTAGATGAAGCTTACGATGAAACTATGAAACGGATCTATGCATTGGGCGAGGAGCGTCGACTACTCGCCTTGAAGGCCATCATATTGATCACTTATGTGTTTGAACCGCTGCGCACCCAGCAGTTTCTAGAAGCTATAGCATTTTCATGTGATCTCTCCGAGATCAATGAGGATGATCTAGTGGATGAAAACCACCATATTGGATATATGTGTTGGCCTGGTTATTATCGACGAAACAAGTCGTGACTATAAATCGTTCTGGCTTCCGTTCGCTCGTTCGTGTCTTGGCTCATAGTTCGATACATGACGAAGACTCATTGAACGTTTCCATAAGATTACACTGCACAGGAACACTTTGGAAAATATGAAGGGTGGCCTTTCGCAAATCCTCATGCAGAAATCATCAAACTATGCGAGTCTTGTTGCTGCCGGGTGGCCAATGTTCGTGCGCCGTGCTGTATGAATATTATGCTGAAAAATATCCGGACAATCACGCGCGTAGGCCTGTCGAGGAGACAACCCATGCAACGATACAAGAATTTTTATGTTGCGGCGAGAGAGTCAACAGGGTTCTGGATCGCATGGGTTATCCATACCAGGGGGGTTCAGCGTTGCGCCTATCTCGGTCTGGCTCAAGCCATTGATTATCGGTTGAAAAATGGTGACATCGTAGACCAACGAAAAGAGGGTGATAACACACCACTACACATATACATCGCTGTTAGACGAAGGCACGTAACAGTGATACAACTGTTGCTCAATCGAGGCCATGATGTCAATCCAAAAGGCGGGGATGGGTCAAACGTTACTCTCGTTTGCAGCCGAGTTTGGGGGCGTGGAGGTTGTAAAACTGTTCTTATCAAGAAGTGACGTGGGTGTGGATTTGGGGGATGGTAAGAGTCGGACACCACTTTCGCATGCAGCCTCGAGATGGGACAAAATGATCGTTCAGCTGTAGCTGTTCTAGGCAAGGCTGGACGTGGATGTCGACTCGAAGGATGTCCATGGTCGGATAACGCTTTCACAGGTAAAAGAGGGAACTTTCACGTAGAACAATTACTTTCTAGACCTAACATTCAGTGAACCTACGAGATGAGAATGACTTACCACTGGACTGTGCAATGCATTATAAGTGGAACAAGGTGGCCTCCTTACTTGCTCGGCACAAGATTTTCGCACTCGATTTGACGTTAGGACATACTTCGCTGCACTGCGCTTCCATCTCAATAAACGGTAACGAAGGACAGGGTACATCTGTAGATAAAGGAGAGGCAATGCCGGAACCCCCTCCGGCACAGGACGGTACTACATTGGACTTGGTGGATAACAATGGATTAACGCCTCTCAAGCTCGCACATACCATGAAAGCTTCACCTCCACCTGCGTCGCTAGGGCCTATCCATGTATACCTCGGTTCTCCATCAGTCATTGGTTTGCAAACGAGAGAGTGATATGGAGGGAGACGAAGAAACAGGTCGTTGGGAAGGCAGTAAACGGATCTGCATATGAAATTCAACCCTTTTCATTACGTAGTATCTTAAAAACAATACTGGTTCCCCCATACGATGTACATCCCTTAGACGCTGACTTTCGCTCTTCTTAGCAAATCAAAAAGTATGTTAGAGCGCTTTAGATATAAAATGGCACTGTATATATATATCTACACTCACTAGAAACGATAAAGTAGAACCATACTGATTTCAATGGACCGATACATTAGCTCTGGACCTTGGCTTACGTGCTCGACAAGCCTCGTGCGGATTATTGGTTAGACAGTAGTCGATGTTAGTGCATGCCGTTAACTACTTCGCGGTCTGCGTACAAGACGGTACCCGTAGTAATTGTTGCAGGTCGATGAAGATGAGAGTTGGAGCGAGAGTACTGGTGAAGAAGGAAGCAGATGTCAGGTTTATATATATAAACGTTTGAACTCCCAAGTTCGAAACGAGCTAGAAGAGAACTGATATAGGGCCAAACCACTTGCAGAGCTGACGCATATGACCAAGGGTGGCTTAGTATGAGGAGATCGAGTAAGATATGTCAGGAGGGGAGGTACAATGTCATATAGAGATGAGTTGATTACCGGGCACAACAAGATGGGATACCTCGATATCCGAGGCACGGATCATATGGGAGTGTCAGAGCCTGCGCTATACAAGAGCCCAGAGAGCTGTGAAGTAAAGGTGTGGTCATGTTCGTAAAATAAAGCACTGCCTTTTGTGTTTACATGTTTTTAGACGTCGAATAACAGTGCTACTCACAGTGAAAAGTACGACCTTGTAGGTCGTCCTTATCAACATGGCCGCTGGAGTAAAACAGACTAGGATGAAATGGAGGACTTCTTCGCCCGCAGCCAGTCATCGCTGCCATATATGTTGCACGGGAAGTTTGTGATAACTCGTCACATGCTCTCCCATGCAACATAAGTTGCACGACGTTCTGAACAAGTCATCTCCTAGAGGCTCCGGTCTAGTGTCGCGTCGGACCAACCGGTCACAACACAAGTAGTGCTGCGATATACTTCAAGCCAGGCATGAACGATGCGTTAGGGGAGCCCAGTGTTGCATGAATTTGTGCAGTGCTCATGATGCTTTCGCAAAGAAATGGTTTGTGTAGTGACAGTGGGTCATTCGGGGAAGATGGCTCTGAGAATAATGAGATGACTCGCAGTAGCTAGTCATTTGGGAGCTGAGGAGCACATAAGCATTGAGCCTTGCACAGGGCTTGTAGTTGACACGAGCAAGGAAAGTGTTACATTCAAAGCTGATGCCAGCCACAGACTCACTGTAATATCGGTTCTCTGAGAATAAATTTACGCCTTGATTTTTGGTACTGTCCCTGTAGCGTGTGTATTGGGTAGATAAGATAGTTTTTGTGACTTGCAATAATAATGCTAGTCAATGCACCGAGGCCCGAAGGTCACGGTGCGAGATTCGGAGTCCTCGTGATGCTGAGACAACGTACTGCTGTATAAGGCTTGAAGTCAGATATAATGCCCACACAAATGCCGAAAGAACAAGAACCTCATTCTTCTGAACTGCAGCATGGCATGGCCATGCAGAAATGACAGCCAGCACCACCCACCACAAGAGCCCGCCGTCATGGTATCGAATGTTGTCCAAACCAAAAGAGCGGGGAATTACATAAGAAAGCCGCATGAATGTTGTGATGTTATTGGGCACCGCGTACGTACGAAAATTTCCGTTGAACCAGCCTCGTGTTCAGAATTTCTTTCTTCTTCCCCTTTACCATCTCACCTTTATTGAAGAAAAAAACATACTAGACTTTGGCCAACTATGTCTAACGTTCCCTGCTGCTTCACGGGTTTAGGGCTTTTCTGGAAAAGGCGCAGCGCAATAATCAACATTGAAATGGACAACTTGTCATAATATTCCTCCAGAATATCTGGACGCTGAAATTTTTAGTTGCAACATGCCCTGAGCTTCAAGCTTCACCGCGGCGTGTCTCCTGAAGGTCCTCTTATATTCTCTGTCTCACCGTCTACTTTCTTCCCATATAAACACGTTTGACGGACAGAGTGAGCGACCGCTTGCAGAATTCGGAAGAAAATGGACTTATAGGTGCGCGTATACTCAAAACGTGCTCGGTATAAATCAAGAGCTCTTACCATATTTTCCTTACTTGGTCGATGAACTCTAGTTTGTTCAGCTTTAGATCTGTTTCTGACGTATGTCATGCACCTGACCTGTCGGCCGAGTCAATCCAAACAAAACAGTCTCGATAATCACTGGGAGCACTGATAACATATCCGGTACACTTCGCTTCAAATCTAAAATTTGACAGGAGGGTTTGAGGATTATTTTCGTGGCCCAGATCGGCACATATAAATGATTCTTCACTAGGCAACTTCTTTACTGGATGTTGGGTTTTGTCACTCCTTGAGACCATATTTCCACAAAGTATGACATCTATGGCCGGACTCCACAGAATGATTTTTCCGGTGACCGAGATACTTAGGCCTCGTGACTATTCAGCTTCTGCTCTTCAACCGAAACTCCCGTCCTCTTGTATGTAGCAGGCTGGCGATGCGCTTACCGCAGATTTCTTATTTCCGTGGACTGGCTTTTGGTCCTTCATGGCTTATCATCGTCGTTGGCTGGCTCATCGGCCCGTGTACAACTCGCTGGGAATCGCAATCTTCAAAGTGAATCTCCACGCCAAAGCTCCGGTCTTGGATGTGACGTACTTCGGCTGAGAGGACAACATTCATGGGGTGTCCGAGGAATATGGGTAACCCCTCTATCAGATAGAATATAGGTCCTACGCAAGGAGATGTTTGCACTGCATCAGAAAACTAAACATAGGTGCGCAAGTGTTGCACTGATAACTCCGTACCATCCATATCTTGTTTACCAGGACTTCCTTGTTGGAACTTCACTGCCTTGGGCTATCGATGGCGGCTCAAAAGATGTCGACATATGAAAGGAACTGCTGGACATCAGAGGAAGGCCAGGATCGTTCGAATGTTGTGGCTTCAAACTCCATTTATCGCGCTCTTGTGATGCATCGCTGCTATCGACATCGATAACACGGTCTAGAAGACAATGTTATTGCCTTCAGAGTTAATTGAGATATCGAAGCATGGGCACAGTCGGATGATGCCAGATCGGATCAAGATCCGCACTCCGCCTCGCCGCCACTATAAGTGTGTTGCCACAATCCCTCCCATCTACACCTCTCCGTTCCATAGTCATCGTCAGACGGTACAATGGTAAGCGTCCCCTCGTCGTCGTCCCCGTCCAGCTCGTCAGTTATCTCCTTCACCAGGGTGTGACAATCGAAAGAATTTCTTCCGGTGATGGTGTAACCTTCCCCAAAAAAGGTGGTAAGCATCTAATCTCTCCAATCCGACATTCGTGTTCCATACAGATCGTCTTCATATCTCCTAGATAAAGTCACAATACATTACGTCGGTACCCTTCTCAATGGCCAAAAGTTCGATTCGAGTAGAGATCGGTGCATATCGCGTCCTAATCGCCATTATCAGTGCTAATCTATCTGTACTAGGGGTTCTCCATTCGAAACAGAGATCGGTGTTGGTAAAGTAATCAAAGGCTGGGACGAAGGTTGGTACTCGATCTCTGATTACCATCCAGGTGCTCATTTCTTATATCAGGCGTTCCACAACTATCGGTTGGCGAGAAAGCCATTCTCACAGCCACTCCAGATTATGTAGGAATTATTCCATAGTTCATCGAGTGGCTATACTGAATTTGACGTATAGGCTTATGGTGCCCGTGGATTTCCTCCAGTCATACCTCCTGAGTCGACGTTGCGTTTTGAAGTCGAGCTACTCAAGATTAACTAATCGTTGTGTTGCATGTCATTGTGTAGGTTTTGAGATGGGTTTTGCTTTCGGTTTTCTATGACTGCACTGTGTTATAACAATTCCATTCTGTATGTTCATGCATTCTTTTTGGCTCAATTAGTGAGACCGGCAGATTCCAACGCAAAGCAGCGACGGCGTTCTCGTCAGTCCTTATCTATCAATCTACAGAAGCTGAAGATTATCGATCAGTTCGTGCGACGCATTGCTATGGCATTCAGTAGTTCTCTATGGCGTTCTTCCCTTGTCCTACGGCATTCTGATAGAGACCGATCTTCGTGGTTTAGCTGTTCCAAATAGCCCTACTAACAAATTTGTGACGCACCCTCAGCGAATGATATAATATCAGCCCGCAAATTCTGATGCTCTTCTGCTAATGCAGCTACTAATTGGCCTATTTTGATTTTCTAGTCAATGTTCGCGGCTAGTATAACTTCGGAGGTGTTCTTACGCGTCTCTTCGCATGGTTCCTGTCGTCTCTCTTCCCTTCCACAACTAATCTTACTGAGGTTACCCCGCATTTCTTCTAAAATAGCGACACACTTCTTCTCTGCTTCTCTCTCACTTTCCATTCGCTCCCTTTGCAGCTCCTTTGCTTCTGTGCACCGTATGCCCTTGTCTCGAAGCATCTCCGTCAGATCGTTCATCTGCTGCCGAATGGACATGGTGGCTTCTTCCTGAGAGTATTCTACGTTCTCCATTACTGTTATCAAGCTGGAAAACTGGAGAATACGGTTAGAGTAAACATGTAGAGTAGTAGAGTTATCAGCGAGATAACCACAGATTTCTCAGGCTCTTTTGGAAGGTTAGGATTAAAAGTATATTAGAAACCCAATTGCTTGATCTTGTGTTGACGGTTGATAACAAAACCCAGAGTGCTTTCTACGTGTCAAATAACACGATCGTTATCGCAGAATGTATATATATACTATCACGAATGAGCGAAGGTAGTTCAAACGCTACTACCATAGAGAACGTACATCGAGCGAAAGTGACCGCTCTTTTATACCTCGCATTGCAGGAGGGTTCAAAGGCAAACGGAGAAGCTTGACCATTTGTGCGTGAACGAAGGATTTGAGAGGCTAATCACGCTGGCCCCCATCATCATACACCTCTAACTTCTAACTTCAAGGGGTAATTAATTCAGAGTTTCCTAGCGCATTTCGTACAATGCGAGATTGTTCCTCGAGAATGAAAGTCTCAGTTGGAGATACTTGACGTCGAAGACTGAGGATCCTATAGAATATTATCAATTAAAAGAAAGCAACGCAGAGCCTCCACTTACAATCTACATGCCTGAAAAAGAGCATGGATATTATTCACTGGCTCTGGCTATATGCGGTGGATACTCACGAATATATCAGACATAATCATCGTAAAAGGGATTCCGTGTCCGTCTAGATGTGTTTGGTTCCTTTGAGAAAGTTAGTATCGCGAAGGCGATGAAAAGGGGAGACACACGAAAGAAAAAATGTTGCAGTGATAAGATTTAGAGACGACATCATAATAAAATATGAAAGACCTGGGCGATGTTAAAACTATTGAAGACTTCGGCTTGAGATACCGTGCTCACTTTGAAGTACGAAAGCTCTACCCAGTGGCCCTTGATATGATTTTGCTCTGATGGCGTACTGCACACAAAAGAGCATGTCAGAGATTGCTATATAGCGATTTGTCTAGCATACCCATAATACGAGGAGAATCGCGAACGCGTCCAAAAGAAATGTAAATAGCTTTAATTCATGGGTTAGTGTATATATATAGCCGCTAGTGCATAGAGACCTACGAAAACAAGCTATTATGGGTATTTGAGGAGGAATATATATATATAAGTATGCTATTCAGATTCATCATGAAACCAACTTACGCCTGTACCCAGAGCAGGTTTATTGTTATTATATGTTGCATTTGGGCTATTGCCATAGCAGCCAGTATTTGCAACATACAGAAAAAAATTGCTTCTCACTGTCTTATACGTTAACAAGGTATATGAATATAAAGTATGATGCTCACACTCAAACCTAATACCGATGAACCAAACCGCGATGGCGACGAGTAAAGCAAAGCCGAATATGAATATTACCAAGATAGCCTTTTTCTTACCCGTAAACGCGTAAGTCCTGGTGAGCATTACAGCTTTTAGGGTGCAATAATGAGACTTCATTGCTAATTTAGAGGAATTCACAGACCTTGAGCAGATATTTGCTGAACATGGAGAATGTCGTCAGTATAGAATCAGAGAATAGGCGCATGGAGCAGCAGTAGGCAATGCCAAAATTTCGTATAGTATAGAACTCACCATAGGTATAATTGCGAGGGACAGAGGGCGAATGACGCGCTCGCATGTTTCGAGGCTATGATCACCGAGCCAGCCCCACAGGTGAAATGGAAAGACAAAAAGAGGGTAATAGCGGCAAATAAGATAGGCTACTTTGATAGGAGTCCATGGTGAAAGGTGAATCTAGTGTTCAGGCTCCTTAAACGATCCTTGATTTGAGCAGACATGAGACATACCAGCGTGTATTCTTCATCCAACCTACGTTGGAATAGTCGACATCGAGACAATTATAAGGGAAATGTAAAAGATAAAAGCTTAGCTTACGACAACAGCCATTCGTATATTTGAATGCAACCTGGGAAGCAAGTGAGCGTTCGTTGAGCATAGTGCTAACAGGACTCATCCTCACAAACAGCTTGCAACATATGTGTATGTCAGAATGAGCCTATATTCAATATCAGTACCACCTACCAAGAGCGGATGATCGTCCTCTGTAACAAGAGAGTAGGTTCAGCATTCAAGTCTCGACAATAATAACATAAGGGTGAATTTCCGAACATTTTAATTGCGACCAAGCCATTAACAGTGTTCGCGTGGGTCCACATAGAGTCAATGTAGAGCACAGATTCCAAGAGCTGATGTTAGTGAAAAAAAAGCTAAAGCCGCAATGACGAGTATGCCTCTTCAAGACTTGCAAGGGTTTTATTAGTTGTCCGCTTACACCACCTGTGCCCAGCGGACTCAGCTGGTCGTCAGGTCCACCAGAAGACTACCACAACAACCGAAACGTCACCTGAGTTTACATTCAGTAATTTCAATTGCGGCTGTTATAAACGTTACTTACTAGCCATAGCGAGCTCACGTCCGGTGGGGGGTATGCGACCCTTGATAAAATTCCCTAAAATCGGGGCCGCAGAGAAAGAGGCTGTTTCCCTTGGTATATAGTGCCTGATAACCCTCGGATACAACTCACAATAGCCACCGTCATGTGTGAGCCTTTTTGTTGCAAGTCGCAGAGCATTTCTCGAACACGGATATTCCCACAGTTTGTATTACTAGCTGAGCCGTAAGAGGATGCCGTGGCAGGGTCTCTGAGAAGCCCACTCACCAAAGTTTCTGTCGCTGAATCTCGATGTTGAGGCTAAAGTCAAGCTGTAGATCATGGGCCCGTAGAAATCGGGCGAGGAGGGCTGTAGAAGGATAAGTGCAATCGCACAAATAAAATTTAGTACTGAAGTTGGTTCAAATGATATCCAACGACATTCATCTATAATAGCCCCTTTTAAAATGCCCGAAATACTATCTATTATTAATCTTACTTATCCAGGCGGCACAGGTCGAAAATGTCGCTCGCAGAATGTATCTACTGACGAAAAGCAGCTTGATAGAAGCCATGACGAGATGAATAACTACCTTACCGTGGGCAGCATAAATATTTCGTGAAGCTCTATACGCGTTAATTGATCAACAGAGAAGTTCATACTTGTAAACTCAAAAAAAAAATATTAAAAAATAGATGACATACTTTAAGTGGGTTTGGCTTATTCAGACCTCGTTCGGTGTATCCAGAGCATCTAGGGCCTCTCGAACAATCCTAGATTGTTCTTCGAGCTGAGTTGACTCGGTTGGAGTTACTTGACGTCGGAGACTGAGAATACTAAGCAATAAATTAGCTGGTTATGGCGAACAGTATCACTTCACTCACAGTCGGCATGCCTAAGAGTCATGTGGTCATTAAAAAGGACGAGATTATACATGAGAAAAATTGGCACACATACAAAAACATCTGATAAATTCAAGGCGAAAGTAAGTCCATGTCCTTCCAAGTCCGTATTATTGCTATGTGATTTTTAAAACCGTTGTTATTCAAAGGGGAAATGAAAGCCGCACGTGAGGTAAAATGCTCCAGTGATGAGATTTAGACTGGACACCATTGCGAAATATACGAGACCTAGGAAATCAGTCGGACAGTGAGTATGCCTTCAATACCTGATTCAGCGTGCTTACTTTGAATTACAAATGTTCTACCCAGTGGCCCTTGCGTTGATTTAGATCTCATTGCACGCTATATATATTATAGCAGATCAGTCGACGAACCGTGACCAGATCATACTCACAGTGATCACCAGGAATATTGCAAATGTATCTACCAAAAACACAAACAACTTCAATAACACTACAGTGAGCATTCTGAATAGTACCATCAGTGTATATGTATATCTCACAAATACGAGCTAATATAAGCGTTGGATTGGAATACACGTTGTGAGATGAGAATATTAGCGCACTCACTGCCGGTCGCTCCTGTCCCGCTGCATTAATTCCGAAGCAACCAGTGTTGCCCAAGTACAAGTAGCTATCTCTCACTGTGAAAATCTGTTAGAAGATTACGGTGGTAAATGATGCTAACTTACACACAAAATTTATACCGATAAACCATATCATTGATGCGGAGGATATGACGTAGCTTATTGCAAGGACGATACCAATGCACTTTTTCTTCCCGGTAAACGCGTATGTCCTCGTCAACATGACCGCTTCCGAATGATGAGTAAGGTTGACCGAAGCATCAAATGGCAAATTACCTTGAGCACATAGTTGCTAGATGTACCGGCCCGGAGATCGCTATTTAGTAAGGAGGGTAAGAAAATGGAGACGTGGGTTGGACTCACGATGGGAAGTGAAGTGAGATATAATGGTTGTGTAACACGCTGACAGACCTCGACGCTATGATTACCTAGCCAACCCCACAGTTGAAATGGGGCGTATAGGAGTGGATAGTAGCGACAGAACAAATATCCCACTTTGACGAAGGTCCAACGCGAGAGATAGATCTGTTGGACTCTTGCGTCAAGACAGAAACTCTGGGTATTCATATCTTACATACCAGTCTGAATTCGTCGTCTAAGCTATACCAGAAGTCAGACTCTCCTAATCATCAAAAGAAAGGGAATCAGACTTACGCCAATAACCACTCATATACCTGGACAGAATCTACATATCGATGAGAAATGAAGTTATAGGTGTCTCAAGGGCCTTACGCGTAGCTAGGACTAACGATTAAGATACCAACACTTCAGTATTTAGGATCGAAACTCACCTATAATACACCATCGACCACTGTCAACGGGAAATTCAGCACTTTGCAACTATGAAATGGTGAACAATGTTTGCGAACAATTGGATTGAATAGGCGATTTGCGCTATGCTCGCCGGGGTTATAGACACCATCGACATGGGTGCATAACATTCGAATAGAGCAACAGCAGACCGATATTCGTAACGCAAGATTGAGAAAACTACTGAAAAAACAGGGGATCGTCACACAGCTCGGCATTATATACAGAATATATACTATACCGTACTGAATGATATTTCTAGCTTGTATGTGGTAACTGGTCGCTTAGGTCCTATGATCATTCGCATTCAGTAGCGGCACATCCGTGACGATACTATCCCGCTTCTCCGTGACTATAATAATCAAGGGCAGGAAGATAGAGAAAGTATCTGGTGTCGTATGGCCTGGATATAGACAGCATTCGAGTTTTCATATAGTTTAGCAAGCAAAGCCAAGCAATATTATAAACTTGCTGTGCCTCCAGGTGGATCGGTGGATCAGCGATTTCAAGGCGGGTTCGAGTTAAGCGAAGCACGCCTCGGAAACAGCCGGTACCGCGAAGAAGCATTATTTTGTGTATCCAGATATTAGAGCCACGGATAAAATGTGTAGACTGACATGTTTCTCAACTTTCGCCGCGGTGGAAAACGGGGGGCCGTAAAACTATCAACGTGTACAACAACTTGAAATGCAATCATAAATTTTCCGAGTAAGTCAAAGATTGTCAAGTATTATATGGGGATTTTGTACCGTACGCGCATATGGACGTGGACGTCGTCTATGTGTAAGTACATGTAATCAATATGAGTAAATATCATATCAGTTGACCGACATGCTTTTTATACCACCAGAGTTCCGCTATTCATTGGGACTTCTACCATTTCCATGTCGTCATCGTCGTCCTCGTCCTCACCTTCTTCCTCTTCCTCCGCGACGGTGTTAAAATGGACCAACTGAGCAGCCGCGACGTCGACAGTGGAAGCTACCGAGGGGTTCTTTCCCACATCGGCTAAATCCTGAGCAAGTTCGCCTTCCCCGACGTCCGCGATCTCCGCTAGCTGTGCCGCTAAAAGGGCGAGTTGTGCTTGCAACGCTGCTCTGCCTTCTCCAGTAAGCTCGCCACTGATCCGAGTTATAGCGCTGCCAATACTAGATTGAACAGATTCGATGGCGGTAGATCCACTGACCGAGGAAATATCGCCATGTGTGGCAGCAAACACCGGCGGAGGATGATCCACACTAACCGTCTCGCTAGTAGTGGCCTCCGGCGGCGCGTCTTGAAGTGGCTGATCTTCATCTGATATCTGTAGTAACTGCCCGAAATTGATGGCTTTGAGGATATTTTGTGCAGCCTCCCAAGCATCGCTCCCTTCTCCAATTTCGTTCCCAGCGCCATCCATAGATACCCCCGGCCCTGGGGGAGCGGGATGGGCCGGATGTTCAACTCCTGGGGCAGGACCATATGGTGAATAATGAGGATAAGCCGCATATCCTGCTGAATACCCATATGGATAGTTAGCATATGGTGGTTGTCCTGGAATAGACGACGACGACGGCGGATTGGGATGGAGGGGAGCATGTGTAAAAGGAGGCGGTGGTGGCAGCGGCTGCGGAGTGGGTAGGCTTGATTGAGAATGCGTTTGTGGTCGTCGCGTTGTCCGCCGAGAAGTCTGCCCAAAAAAAACGCAATTAGTACGTTGCTTGCTACCAACATAACGATGGTTTAATTTGTAAATTTGTAAACTCAAAAAACAAGATATTGTTTTGCACCACCGTAGATCGCGGAGTATGTCAAACCACTTACATTTCCACCTTCCCAAGCAGCATTTAAACGGTACTTGCCATTACTTCCTTTCTCTAGCCGACCCCTCTTGAAAGCCTTTTGCAAGGCTTGACTGGCTGAAGGTCTAAAGTTTGTCTGGAGAGGATAGTGCACTGCCATCCAGCTGAACAAATTTTTCGGAGCACAACCATCCGCATCGCCAGAATCTATTAGCGCCTCAACGATCATCTCCTCGTAACTTGGAAGATCGTCAGTGGCAGCTTGCGATGATGGCATCTCAGGAGGGTGCGGAGCGTGTATGAGCGGCGCATTTGTGAATAGCGGCGGAGGATGGCTGGATGAATTAGGTGGATAAGATGCAGGCTGCGGATATGCACTCCCGTAGGGATGCGAATGTGAAGCATAAGGGTAGCCTGTATGCTGTGGAGGTGGGTAGTACGGTGCGTGGGGATAGGCAGGATAGCCGTAGGGCTGATGTGGGTAGTGAGGTTGAGTAACTGAAGCTACAGGTGGTGGAGGCCCTGGAGTAGTGCTAGGCTGAGATGGGGCAACCGGCGCTTGAGCAGAAGTAGGGCGCTGTGGGGTCTCTGTACGAGACGATGAGGCAGTATCGGCGGGAGCCTGATCATCAGAGGAGCTAACTGGAGTTTCAGAGGGCGCCGAATCTGCCAATGAAGCCATTAGAGGCACCTCTTCTGTCGAGGATATCCCTGTAGGTTTTGGAGTAGCACGATCGCGCTGCGTCGATGCCTGTGATTGCAGGCTTGCGATAGCTGCCTTGATGTCGAAAGGCCATATTGTACTTCTAATATGTACAGGTGCATGGGCTTCAAACGTCAGACAGATGTCTATTATCTGTGAGGAAGATAGTAGTCCCAGGTACTGTCTTTTGAGAGCGTAAAATTCGGTGTCTGTCACACGTGAAATTGATCGTTAGAAGAGCAGGTCAAAGCAAGAAGAGAAAGCCATACCTGATAATGTAGCCTGGCCCTGATAACCATGTTGTATTGGCGGATGGGTTGCTGTATAGGGGACAGACGAGCTCGCTGTCTGCATCGTTCCGCTAGCTGCACAGTTTTTCGCATCAAGGTTCGCATTCAAACTCCTACACGCTGCATCCACCACAAAATCATCACTTCCGCCCCGCCGCCATCGTTGTTCCCGTTCCGTAATTATACACTATTTTTTAATACTAAACTATCAGTATAAACATACAGTGATCTTCGTTGTAAGTAAGTATAACCAAGTCTAAATTTAAAACTCTTTCACTTGATATCCACACTTGTCCTACATGGCATTTAGCATGGTTACTTTGGCGTAGGATCCGACGCGCCACAGTCAAAGTAATGCAGGTGAAGATCAGGTATGCGTGCTCATTAAACCCCATCTGCATCTATCAGAAAAATATGGCATCAGTACGATCAGGACGGGCACCTCAAAGAAGAGAGAAATCCTCTGAGATGAACAAATTCACAAATCAATGGTTGTATTCCGCACGTTGTTGAGTGAACCAAATTGGTAGATAAATTTACGACGTAGGACTAGATGATGGCACTGCTTCTTCTTTTATAGACGACTGTGAATCAGGTTGAGGTGGTTTGGCTTGCACTAGTACAGCTTCATCGGGCGATAAAGAGAAGAATACTGCCTTTTGACGCTCCAACCAACGTCGCGGCTGGCATGACAAAATGTTGGTGAGCAAAGTCAATGAGTATCTGATGCATGAGAGAAAGACGCACTGGCATGAATACGTGCTCCCGCTCTCCCCAGTCTGCAATGAATATGCAATAAAGAAATGCAGCTGGCAGAATCGCAGAACCACAGAACGATGAGTATCGAAACGAGATTATAAGTTGAAGTAAAACGCACTTGGTATCAGTGTGTAAGTGAGGATACGACTTGTACTATATACCCATGGTGGACGGAAGTCGCCATCATCGTCCTTTTTTGCCTGTGGTACGCCTGGTAGTCTATTGCGCAGAGTACGCTCTGAGGCATACGTCCGTTGCGTCAGGTTGGCTGGAGTAAAACGTCTAAATCGTTGGCTACTGCGAACTGCTGAACTGCATGATCCAAACATCTGAATAGTAGAGCGTTTGCTGGCAGTTACGTTGTAAAATACGACCTAGTCAGACCAAGCCTGTGGCAAGACGCGAGTTGTTGGTTTGCCGAATGTTTGCGCGTTTCCAGTTGCCATTCAACTTCAGTAAACCACAGATCGAGACTCGAGAGCTCAGTCGTACACTGCAATGACAACTCGTGTCCTTCAGTGACAGCTTCAAGCATGCTCTTTGACCTTCGAATTCTCCAAAATGCGGTCACCGGTAATATCTAAGCTCTCCGACAATTCGGCGATACTCCACAAAAACGTGCTCGTCCCCATTGAACGGCCAAGAAAGCTTTCTTGCGAAGCGTTTGCTGGTGCTTAGCTTACACGTGTGTTAATGTACGTACAGACTCCCAATGGTAAATGTCGGACAGTCATTATCTGCTTTTGTTTCACGACAAGGCGTATGAGTTGCGGAACGGTGCTCCGGCTGGCTGAGCTTCAGGGGGTATGCATACATCATGGGAGCCTTTCAGAGGCAGAAAATGCCTTCTATGTTCTCAAGCTTGTCCACCTGACTCCTTCGGCTGACGCTATCTCAAAGTGTCCTGTCCGGCGCAAAAACTCGATAATTTCCCAACGCCCCCTTGATTTCTGATTAGCATCATCATGTCTCTCAACACTACTAGCACCCCAGGATACACCTTCGCCGCCAGCGCTCCGCCCTCCAATGGAGCGTCTGATGCGGATCCTGTCTCGTTTCTCTATCCCCACCATTCAGCAGAGGTTGCAAAGACGTTGATAGCTACTGCCCAAGCTTTGGTTAATCCCCGTGGAAAGGGAATCTATGCCACTGACGAGACCCCTGAAGGCATCGAAGCCAGACTAGTTGCCGCGCATGGGCAAGAGGGTACAGGCAAGACGTTGTCCGACGCAGAGAAAAGAGAACAGAGGAGACGATGGAGGGAGTGTTTGTACGAGTCTTTACCAACTGGTATGTCCTGCAAGGTGTACCCCTATCCATACTAATCGCCGTTGGGCAGACTACATTTCCGGAGTCATCCTCTACTCTGAGACTCTTATCGACTTCCAACTCGCGCCTGTCCTGGCTGCTCGCGGTATCATCCCGGGTGTCCGAGCGGACACAGACGCACATCCGTTGCCTATCTCACCCAACGAACCGGCCACTCAAGGTCTCGACGACCTTCTGCCTCGTCTACAAGCTGCCCGCGCAGCAGGCGCACGCTTCACCAAGTGGCGGGCACCGATTCTGTGCAACTCGTCGACCCTCCCTACTCAGGCTGGTCTAGAAGTCCAAGCTGAAAGCCTTGCCCGTTTCGCGGCGATCAGTCAACAAGCAGGTTTGGTTCCCATCGTCGAACCTGACGTTGATTTTGCAGAAGATGCGGACCTTAAACGAAGCGTCGAGGTACATGTCAAGATCGTTAGTCTGATCTATGCTAGGTGTGCCGCCTACGGGGTCTTATTAGAGGGTGCGTTGAACATTTGAAATAAGTGTTTCATGGCAAGATCTGATGAGAATGTTCAACAGGGTCGTTGATAAAACCATCTTTCGCCCAGCCTGGACAAAAGCATCCTTCACGGGCAACAACGTCAGCGGAGCAAATTGGACTTGCTACCGCGACTGTTCTCGCACGTTCAGTTCCGATATCGGTGGCAGGAATTGTTTTCTTGTCTGGTAAGCATACCTTTTGTTCTCGTGTATCATGCGGCTTACACGCGGTGAAGGTGGGCTTTCTGATTCTGATGCCATCAAATATCTGAACGCCGTCAATACTGTGGTCAATTCACCGAAAACCGATTACCCGTTATGTTTTTCGCGTCTCCCGCCGCTTACATTCTCATTTGGGCGCGGATTACAAGGTGATGCGATGCAGAAATGGGTAAAGGGCGATGAAACTGGAGCCAAGAAAGCATTTGAAGATAGGGCAAAGGCTTGTTATAAAGCGGCCAGGGGTGAGAGTGTATGAGCTTATGCCAGTGTCTCCGCGGCGATGAACAAGTCTGGCTTCGATCGATGATAATGTATGATTATAGATATAAACGATATAGCAGCAAGAATTTCGAATACATAAAGTGGTGATATTGCGCGCCAGATCAAGTTATAATGGAGTCAGCAAACCAGTTGGACGTCGTATACGAATGAAGAGAACTGCGTCAACCGCCGTTCGTGTTCGTCCAAGTAACGGAGTAATTATAGCTAAGATTCCTTGTTAAAGATGCATATGATATTCTCATTCCACAGCCTCTCGGGAGCTATCTTGCAATGTGAATGGTCATGTGAATTGGGCTGGAGAAGATAAGGAAGAGAAGAGTGAGTCCAGGTCGATAAACACAGTATGGCTGTATAATTATCACATATGACATTGAATGGCTTGGCTACACGAAGATCCGTCCTGGCTCACTCAGCAGTCGTAAACCACGGTCGACGGCGAATGAACAACTCTCGACAGTTCCATATATGGCAATGGACTGTCCATATATGGATATCAAGTTCGAATCTGACAAGTCGTCGATTTGTCTAGTCGTCTCATGCTCAACTATGCCCTCCTGTGCGTCATGCCGATGACCACAAACATTCTCATCGAAGACGTCATCTAATAATACTCTGCAAGTATATATACCAACGCCCAGTCTATCCCACCGTAACTTATTTCATCCTGACGCCCTCTCATACACTTAATAAAAACAATGAGCTTGTTTAAACCTGCTCCCCCTCCCCCCACAAAATTGGGACGATACCGTGTGCTGGGTCCTCATGCTGGACTACATGTGTCACCACTTGCTCTAGGTGCTATGTCAATCGGTGAGAAATGGGAAAACTTAGGCATGGGTGCAATGGACAAGCAGTCGTCCATAAAACTGCTCGACGCGTTTTATGAGGCCGGAGGAAATTTCATTGACACGGCAAATAATTAGTAAACTGCACATTTATCCCCCTCTCATTCTGTATTTACACATAATCTTTGTTTTTCAGTCAAGACGAAAGCTCAGAAGAAACAATTGGCGAGTGGATGAACCAGCGGGGCATTCGTGACCAGCTTGTAATAGCTACAAAGGTCCGTGCTACCACTACATTATAGCATATATATATCGACTTGCTTCTTAGTACACTACGAACTTCAAGCGCGGCAATTCCAGTGTCAAACAGCAAGTAAACTATGTCGGCAACAACATTAAATCAATGCACATTAGTGTGGATGCTAGTCTCAAGAAATTGCAGACTTCCTATATCGACATACTCTACCTCCATTGGTGGGACTGGGATACTTCAGTCGAAGAAGTCATGAATGGGCTTCATAATTTAGTCGCGCAGGGCAAGGTATTGTACCTCGTCAGTACACTTTCTTTTTATGTAAGCAGTCAATCCAACCTCAGTACCATATCTAGGGCATCTCAGATACGCCTGCTTGGATTGTTTCGAAAGCTAATCAATATGCTCGAGATCACGGTAAGACTCCCTTTGTGATATATCAAGGCAAGTGGAGTATCTTGGAGCGGTCCTTTGAACGCGATATTATTCCCATGGCGCGGTCTGAAGGTTGGTTTACGCATATATCCCATGTACTATATAATAACATATATATTCCACTGGAAGGCCTTGCTTTGGCTCCGTGGGGTGTCATTGGTGGAGGAAAGTTCCGTACAGACGAGGAAGAAGAACGCCGCCGCCAAACAGGCGAAAAGGGCAGAGCACTCTTATCCGATTGGCTACGCAACGACAACGAGAAGAAGATTTCCCAAGCTCTAGAGAAGGTTGCCAAGGAGGTTGGGACAGAGCATATTACTGCAGGTGGGCAATTTTTCAACTTGCAATGTCAAGGACAAACTTATATGTCTTGTATAGTTGCTATTGCATATGTCATGCAAAAGACTACACATGTATTCCCTCTCATTGGTGGTCGTAAAGTCGAGCACTTGCAAGGTAATATCCAAGCGTTGGATATCTCTCTGAGTCCGGAGCAGATTCAATATTTGGAAAGTATTGTGCCTTTTGACCCTGGATTCCCTACTACTATGATCGTGAGTAACAGCACCTCCGCTTTGAGCTGCGGCACTTACTGATTTGATAAAAACAGGGAGATGGAACGTCGGGCAATAACCCGATGGTCAATTCTGTAGCTCACATCGATAAGCAGCCACTTCTTCAACCTATCCGTCCAACAAGATAGTGAAAAGTAGGGAGATCGGTGTGAAAATATGGTCCGCTCGACGCTATGCCTACACTTGCGTGCCGTTAACAATTCCCAATGGGGCCCCTGCTGCTATAATCATCTTATGTCGCATGACTCCCTGAATGATTCGTAGAAGAGTATGATTGAAAAAAAATAACAAGGGCGATTTTCCGTTAATATTGTGCAAGCCATGAAAAGTAAATCGTGTTTATGTATACGTTCTTCGGGGATCTCTACTATGGCGCGAGTCTGTCGATTTTCCATCTGGGTTCATCGTCTGGTGATCCTTCGATCCGAAGATAGCGAACACGGTCATGTAGACGCGATGGTTTCCCAGACCAAAATTCGACTTCGCTGTAAACAGGGCTCAGTGCAAGTTAGACATCATAATACAGCTTTACATTATACCTGGGTATCACTCGCCAACCGCCCCAAAATTCTGGCAACGGGACAACGCCCTCCGTATCAGTCTCTCGAATACCGAAACGCATATGCATCTTTTCAACTCGGGCACGTAGATCGTCTTCGCCTACAACGGTGCTTTGTTTGCTCGTCCATGCACCGACCTGGCTACCGAGTGGCCGACTATGAAAATACTCCTCGCTTTCTTCTCTGCTAACTTTTTCAACCTTCCCAAGAACTCTCACCTGGCGGTGCACCTCACGCCAGTAAAATACGAGAGCCGCATTCGGGTTTGCGATGAGTTCTTGCGACTTACGTGAGGTGTAGTTGGTGTAGAACACGAAGCCGCGATTGTCAAGTTGCTTGAAGAGAACGACGCGGGAAGACGGTATGCCCGATGGAGTTGCGGTGGAAAGGGACATGGCCTCTGGTTCATGCACAGTCTTGCGTGCCTCGGTGAACCAGAGGTGAAATTGTTCGAGTGGTGAAGGGTGCACACTGTGCGGCGAAAGGGTATCGAGGGTAACATATTGCTGGTGTTCATCTACCTTGAGCTTGGGATGAGCTTCGGGGGCAGGAACGATCTCGCTGGGTGCTGTCATGCTGCTGCTACTGCCAGTGACTCGGAAAGTCCTAGGTTTCGAGAATGTGTTGATGGGTGTTTTGACAAAAGGGCTGCGGAGTATGATAGCCCGGGACAAGGACATACGTCTGGGGAAATGAATGAGCCAGTTTTGTAGTTCACTTGTAGTCGGATCATCCGCCTTGCATGATTATGCCATGGAATCGGATCGATAAAGGGAAGAATGCGCTAACTCATCTTTGGCCACATACATCGGGGCTTGCCGCAGGCCAAATAGCTTGAAACAAAGGACAAATGCAGCTCAAACAAGGTCCTCAGGCTCTAGCAACATTTCATAAACGTCTTTTGCCTGACCACTATTGGTATCATGAAATATGCTGCTCAGGACCTTCCGTATTACCCGCCAGAAGGGTTGGCGCCCATTCCCTCCAACGAGCGGCCCTCAATTTCAAAGTCGCTGTGACTTTTTATTTGCTTGTCCACTGGCAATATCCCCAATACACACGACATAAGATTCGAAGGATATCTATGGGAGAACTTTGACAAAATGCTGTTCAAAGCAACAGAGTCCAACGGTCCTGGATTTGCTGGTTAAATCCGACTATCTTTATATCGCTGGATGCTCTCAGGCTGTCGCAGCGTTGACGTTGACGGGACATCGACGTTGCATCAACATTGGTGAGAAAGGACGTTTACTATACAGTCGCTGTCTTTGCGGTACCGCACCTCGAATTGGGGTGCCCGTACTGCTCAAAACGTCGAGAGACTTTTTCTAACGCGCCCCAACCGATTATGACATGGACGTGAATTACGGATCACGTCCCAGGTGAGTGACGGATGATAGTCATTGGATACTATATCAAAGAGGAGCTACTCACTGAATTGAAAACACGTTGAGACAGAACAATAAGGCTTTCACCTTGAGCCAGAAGTTTTTGCAGGACGCACATCTTGCGCACGTCACCCGCAGTGTTCTGTTGAATTGTATGTTACGTCCTTCCACGTGTCTACAACGAGGCGCACTATGACGGAAGCTGATCAATGGCTCGTTGGCGGAGTGGTATTGTTCGGATGGCCTCGGAATGCGTGCTAGTACGTCAAGAGAAAAACCTTAAGTTAGTTATCTGATGGATTACTTATTTTTGGTCACTGATTGGATGGATATAGTAGTCTTCAGTATCGCTGCTAGTAGTCAAACCTTGTAATCGAGGCGCTCCTCACCAGCTGTGGGGACTTGGGGTACGTGCTTGGTCACCCTTTTACGTATTATCATCCCTTTGCGAAGCCTATTCTCTCGCCCCTGCCCCTTCAGGTCCGGGACTTTAGCAATCTGGTGTTAGAATCCTGTGCTCCTATCGCGCCCATTTTACAGAGGATGATGCAGTTGCTAGCGACAAGCGCAGCAGTGACTGGTGTAACTTAGCGCTATGTAGTGAGGTAAAGTGGTGCCTTATCTTGCATGTCTGTCTCCTTTAATTGCAATTGCAGTTCTCCAAAAATATAGCAGGGGATGGGTAAAATGCAGGGAAGCAATTATCTACTGTCGTTGGAGATATAGCGGGGACTTTACCGTTCAACATTCTGTGGCTTGATGGGTTGTCGAGCCTTCTTAATCGAGGCTGCGGAATTAATTTCTAGTGGTAGCTATCACGGGGATATGGGCGTCTTTTCGATACCATGGCCTATTGTAGCAGTGGGTTCTATTTGGATTTTTCACTTTGCTGCAGAATATGAAGAGAACAGGGTTTTGAGGCTAAATGGTCAACCCTGGGAACGATAAGATCCGATAACAACGAAGGTCGACCACGGACCGCAAGTGGACCCCTTCTTACTGCATCGAGGAGCAACCCATCGAGCGCCACACTGGAAAAAAAAGTTTATGTGGCTTGTGATTCAGATTGCGAGTCGGCCGAGTGCGTATGGCAATCTGGTGTGCGAGTGGAAATAACCTGTCAAGCACGTCAAGTGTATGGATGGTTGATATTCGAGTTGGTGCCTGTTTACTGTTTTTGCTCGAAGATAGTGGCTGACGTTCACGCTGACAGGACGACATAGATAGGCAAGGAACAGGCATAGTTAATAACCGGGAAGAGACCGCACGTTTCTGGAGGTGATCCATACGTACGTAAATCATGAAGGATGCAATATCACAAGGGCGCGGATGCTTGAAGAAAATGAATAGTGGGGATACGTTCTACCGAATTGTCCGGACTTTTATTCATTATCACCACGGAGGATCAACAACATAATTGCAGAGGATGTGGCCAGACTCTATTACAGTTGAGTGACCATCACCGCTGGGTAAGGGCCCTTAATGTTTGCATATTTTTGCGTTTTCAGGGGATAAAAATACGAGGGAACATATGCCCTGATGACACAGAAAATAACACAATATGATATGATATGATAAGCTGTGAAAATAAGCAGTGTGTCTTCCCTTGACACACGCACTGCATATGGGGGCTGGCTGAGAGAAAGTGTTTTTTGAGTCTAAGGAGTGCGCGGGCTGAGTGTGCTGTATAATTAAGTAATAGCTTAAGCTTCAATACCTTCCTATCTGAGGAAGACTTCGATGGAAACAAGCCGAGAAAGGAGAAGTGCGGCCATGTGCGTGTTCGGCATGACGGCATCGGGCTCAACCGAGGTAAATCTGAGATTTGTGTGTTTGGCTGCGATATCCCAAAATAATAAGTAATATCCTGCATATTACTGTCCCTTTACTGTATTCTCGTCAACGCTCCTGTATTCTCCTCTCTCCTCCACGCCAGCGCTACAAGCGCACTTCCATCCATGCATTCAATATCTGACCTTACCACTTATTGCAGAAAAACTGGGGGCGATGTTCCAGCAAAACTTGTCGTATGTCTACACCACTTGTCACGTCATTCGTCCGCTGACTTGCCTGTATCGAAAGGGCGCCTCGACCACCGTTGTCGGTTCAAAAATGTATCTTTTCGTGAGTGCACGCGTTCTTTCCTCGCCAAAACGTCTCAAGTCAGAACATGCATCGTGCATAGGGCGGTCGTCTAGTCACAGAACGACGTATGGTCTCTGACCTGTACGTCTTCGACCTCGAATCCTTTGTTTGGGAGAAAATACCTCAATTTACCGACGACGACATACCTGCAGCACGTTATTTCCATTGTGCTGAAACTTGTACGTCTTTCAGTCCCTTCACTCGTTTCCCACCAACCTCGTGCGCCTCGTCTTCCAGGGAACAACCAACTGATCATATTCGGTGGTATGGGTAACACTCCAAATTCAAACAACCCAGAAGACCTTTGCGTACTGAACGACGTTCGTTTTCTCGACCTATCCACCATGCACTGGCTGCCTGCGTCATACTCAAACGGAGCAACTTCGGATTCCAACGCGGAGGGTCTAGTACCTAAACCACGATATGCACACCTGTCATCCATCACTGCAGATCGCATGTTCATAATTGGTGGCCAAGATCTATCAAATATCTGGCTGGATGATGTATATGTCTATGATCTATTAGGCAAAGCTTGGGTGGAGCATCGTGATTTCCCTCATCATTGTGGCACTTACCGCAGTGTTGCTGTATCAGCCGACCTACGTGTACGCTTGCCTCGAGATGAAATACGTGCTTCGGACTCGACGTCAACATTAGGGCCTCCTGGCACCCGCTTCAAGGCTGACAAAATACCATCATCTTCACAAGAATTTACATCATCTGAATCTCTCGTCCATCTTCCCTATTCTACATTACCCACTGACGACTATCCAAATGATATCTACCTGTACAGTAACTACAACGTAAGTTCCTCTCAATCTCATTTCATTTTTGCGTTCGGGCTTCTTATGACATGTGCTACAAGTTCACCGATGTCAAACGCGAACTCGAGGTGTTTTCGCCACTCCCTGACACCGACTTTACGATCATCGAACGCTCCACAGCAATGTCAGGAACTTCATTCCCCCCCGGCCTTCGCTTCCCGTCTGGTGCTATCCTGGGCACTCATTTCATCATAGCAGGCACATACATTGCCCACAGTTATCAATCTTATTCCATATGGGCGCTTGACCTCCAAACCATGATTTGGTCGCGGATCGATCCTGGAAGTGCCGTGGCCACGGGATCGTGGTTTCGAGCTTGCTTGTGGGCGGAGGCGAACAAGTTCTTAATCTTTGGAAATCGCAATGGCAATTTGGTAGAAGATTATAATCGTCGTCTTCTCAGCTGGGATCATGTGGCAGTCATTGACCTCGAGGCATTCGGGATTTACCAGCCTCCGCAACTGCAATTGGATATCCCGATGCAGGAGTTTGGTCTATCAGCACTGGAGGAGGGCGTTCTGACCGATTTCGAGATTGTTTGCGATGATGGACGCAAGGTCAAATGTTCAAGGAAAACTCTTGAAGAGAGGTGGCCATGGTTTAAGGATCAGCGGCTGAAGTTTTTGGAGCGAGCTCAGCAAGCGATTGAGATCATGCCGTCGTCCTCTATGGATGTAGGACTTCCTGAGCTCCCAGGTTCCGTGGAACCCGCAGATTCTCGACCAGACCCTCGGCTTACTCCTCGATCCTTCAACTTATCAGAGCCATATCCCATTACTCTTGCGCTACTGCAGTATTTCTATTCGATGGCCCTCATCACACCTTTGCAACATGCACCCGCGGTGTTGAGCCAGCTATTAGTGCTCTCAAGTACTTATAGGATTACGCACTTGGAATCCTTAGTAAAACATGCGATGCATCGTGCGCTTTCGAATTCCACCTCTGTCGGCGTTTATGAGGTGGCAACTCTGTGCAGTTGTCGCAGCCTGCAGATTCGGTAGGTTTGGAAAATTTGATTCGTAAAAGCCTTCTCTTATATTTTCGTCTTGAAACAGAGCTCTCAAAACAGTAATGGTGAATAGCGTGGCATCCATCTTTGCTTATAGGTATAGACGTAGCTGATGTGCTTTTTTTATAGTCCTACAGCCAGAAAAGGACCGGTCGCTCTCGCACTGATAGTAAGAATGGAGGCAGTGGTCGTAATGACCCTAGTGATGGGGAGGGCCAAGGTCGCTCGGGTGATGGTGTCTCCCCCACTGTTCGCTCGAGAGGAGCTTCAGACGCTAAATTTCCTAGTCCTTCTGAGCAGAACAGTGCAGGAACGTCTTCCATTAGAGGGTACACAGCGAACCTCAGTAAGTAACTGAGTACATGTAGTTCTTGAGATCGTGGGTAAAATTATAGTTTTTCTGATTTTTCCTGTGATCGACATGTCACAGATATTCTCACTGATGGAGCATCATATCAAATATCGGCAAATTCCGTGGTCAAGGCTTCTCAATTCAAGCGTTCATCTCATAAACCTACGCTCTCTGGCAGCAGCACTTTGAAGCCTGCTCGAAGATCAGCCATGTCGTACCACAGCAGGTCCTTCAGCGCTGTCTCCGATTCCACAGACCATGAAATCTGTGCATTCGCAGACCTTTTATCTCCTCATGTTTCCAACTCGCGCAGTTTCGGCCAGGAGCAGGAGGAGATAGGCGTTGCCCTTGACGAGCAATATGACGAGTTCCTTCAGAACTCCCCATATCGCGTCGGTAAGGCAGCGACGGGTGCTTATCTACTGGTCACGCACGAGGAACCGTCATCTCTTGCATATACATCATCACAATCCCACTCTCCTTTATCGAACGTCAATTCCTTTCACTCAGAATCAGAGTATGAGCCATCATCAGATGACGCATACGCTCAACACCCTTACATTCCTTCGTACACAAGCTATCCATCGTTTCATTTACCTCGCTCTCGAACTCGTACAAGGACTCAATCAAGTCCGGGCCAGATGAATGCCAGCGACAGCGACACGCCATCACTTTCTTCCTCGACCACCTCCTTCAGCTCCCTGAGTAGCACTTCACGCTATGCCACATCTCCACCCATAAGTCCATTAAGGACCCCAGTCGACCATGCTCCATCAAGTGGTCAGTACCTCACCATAATAGAGGAACCGCTGGTCGAGGATCAGGAGTATAACCGGCGTCTCTCTCAAAATTCAGGGAGCATCATATTTGCCCCAATGGAGTTTGCGCCCCCTCCTCCCGAATTACAGCCGAGCGCCAAACCCAAAGAGACACCACGGACGAAATCACGTCCCGCCAACATTGACAGCTTGAGGCTGAACGTGGTAAATTCCAATTACATCAGTCAAACCAGCAGATCAGCTTCGGCATCCTCCTTGGGCGTCACATCCCCCTCGGCACAGTCATATAAGACTCTCTCGAGTCCTCGCGCGCCCAGTAGTCTTTCATTTGGCCGTATGTTATCGGGGGGTTCATCAAAATCCAAAACTGTACCACCGCTGGTGGAGATACGTCCATCATCACCGACGAGCGTTGCTACGATACGTAAAGAGACTCAGCGGGAGGAGAAAATGCGCAAGGCTGATGAGAAGCAGAAAAAGAAGGCAGAGGCGAAAGCTCGAACAGAACGCTTGGCTGCTGATTTGAAAGAAAAACAAAAGCGAAAGGCTACTGCTCATGATAGGCAGTCTGTGCACTCCAACAGATCCGGGGACCGCAGACAAGCATGGGACAGTGACGCATGCATGTTCGGTGGGCTGGGGGCGCTGTAATGCTGTATTATCTCTTTTATCTATTTGTTTTATGCTGTTGTTGTTTCATTAACTCATGTCGTTGGATTAGATTGACGCTCATTGTATTGATCTGTGTTATTGTAGATATTTTTCGGGGTATATTACGCATCATCTTGACATCTATTTGTCCCTTATTTTTTGCTTATTTCTGGTTCGTGTTGGGACCACCCTATAGGAGTAGTTGTTACTGTAGACACACATATTTATTAGTCGAACCTGATTTAAACTTCCTCTACCGAGAATTAAATTTTAGAAGCGAGAGCAATAAAAGGTGTCTAGGACTCGAGTACAGCAATTCCAGAATACGACTAGGTCCATGGACTGAAGAATTAGGTTATCTGTCACAACGATTATACTACCGACGACCTATGAAACAACCTGGTTTCTCATGAGAAGGAATGTATCATATACCTCTATCCAACATGTCATTGATATTCTGGGAAGACGTAGCAGATCGATAATCGGAAGATGTATCAACGACCGAGGGCACAAGAGGCATTGTCGTTGCAAACGAGGCCCGAGCTGGGTCTCCCGGGAGGTTGTTGATGGATTGTGGCGGGTCAGAGGGTATGGGGAAAGCATCTTCGCCAAACGGAACAGGGGGCATTGGATCAGGTTGAGGTGATGCGAATATGTGATTAACTATCGCAACAGTTAGTCGAAGAAGACAAAATGTCATACAATAAATAATAACATACATTCTCTTGCGTGGGCTTTAGAAAGTAAGTAATATGTCAATAAAATGTTGTCGTAGAAGGTAATGAACACTGACCTAGATCTTTCTGCCGAGTGCACGTTTCACCATCAGCACAATCAGGCCTCTTTGTAACGGTTTCCTCCAGGAAACCCTTTTGCCGCTCCCTCACCCACCACCCCTTGATACCCCAAAGCAGAATTTCCGCAGCACACAACCTACAAATTTTGCTTCGAGGGGCGTCTGGATTAGGGTCGACACCTGCAGCCACGCTGTGGACGTCAACAAACAAATCGAGCTCGAAGAGAGGCTTGAACCCATCAGGTTGAGACTGGAAATGTGCAACAATCTATCAAGGGATAGTAAGGAGATGTCCGTTGCAGAAAGTAGAAAACGCTAACCTCGCGGTAAATGTGCCTCGGAGTCAGACGCTGAGCCGTAAGATAATCGAGCATAATTTCAACTTCGACATTATTGCTAACAAAGCATTCGTAAACCTCAGCGGACTGGATGAGGTCACTGATGTCGGTCAGATTATGAGGATGTTGAGATATCAATGGAGCCGCTAGGCATCGCCCTTGTACACCAATGCCACAGAATGATACTTGACAGAAGTCGCATTTCGACGTGTTCGGAGCGCTTGAAGCAAGAAGGTTCTCGCTACATACACATCATGCATCAATTGAGTGCATATATCACGCAAAAGTACGGCGGCTTTACCAGTTTCCGCAATATACGTGGCCAGGAGGTGTACCGTCATCCAGATGCCATGCATGATCGGGGTCAGTATTGGGATCTACGATGGGCTGAGGGCATCTCCACCCAAAAGGATTACCGGGAAGACAGTGAGGGCAAGGACGAGCGTATTCCCCATTCTGATTGAAATTCGGTTCAGGTGACACTTCTCTTGGGGTCGGAATCTAATAGAAAAGATAGATGAGATTTCACTCCTTCTTCAAAGTGCACGGAACCGGAACGCGACCTACCCTCATCGGCGTCCCGCCTTTATAAATCTCATCCGCCTGCATCCGTTCTCTTTCTGTTCGCGCCTTGGAAGGATCTGCACGCAAAAGCACATCGATAATGGATTGTAAGGGCCGCGATGGTATTACAGATGTTGAGATACCACGACACGCAGGACAGTTCGTCCCGCCATTCTGCGCCATAAGCATGTCAGTAATGTACAATGCGAATCGCAGAGAATATGTGGTTGGCATGTCATGATCCGATGTCGTCGCTAGAACGAACTCATAATCTTTCTTTTCGTGGCATATTCATTGGACCGACTAGGACAAACGCCATTGCAAGGAAAGCGAAGGAGAGCATCCAACAGCGATCTGAACCTGCCCATGCACGAAAGGTATGGCAGACTTACCCGGATCCAAAGCATACAACAACTACATTTCATGTCAGCCAGAACCATGGAGATAGGCTGCATATACGTACCTGCCACAGAAGAAATGTTGACAAGGTGATACAACAACTGGCCGATAACAAAGCTCTGAACAACATCCGCATTGCAGCTCTTGTGCAAGATCGTCCGCAAGAGTTTCGTATGGCGAAAAAGATTTATCGCCAGACAGGGTATCATCTGCATCAATATCCACATCTTCCTTGAACCTCTTCCTGCTGCTGACAACTTCGTCACCCAGCCCTTCGAAGGAGGGCGATGGGCCTCGCTTGAGGGTAACTGAGGCGTTGTCGGGGCGCGACATGAGCAGTCCCATAGGCGATTGTGGAAGATTATAAACGTTTATAATGTTGTCTTCCGACATTAGTGGCTCAAAGCAAGGAGATATACGTATGAATGCGTGCCAATTGTCAAAAGATGATTGTGGTTCAGGAATAAGATTGACCTAACCCAACGAGCAGCCACACATCCAGATTAGGATGGCTGATATATAGAGTTCGGGTCATGTCCCATAATTGCCAGTATGGCCAGCGTGTAATCACAAGTCTATGTCAGTAATAAAGGAAAAGAAGCCCTTCCAAGTCCTCGAAGCTACATAAAAGTAATGCTACTGTGTGTGGGTTACACTAATACCCTCAAGAAAGGAGAACAAGCGATACAGTGGCTACGTCCGTAAAAACAAAAATAGTATTTGTGACAATGACTACTGGATGAAACCCAGGAACGATGCAGTGAAAATATTTAGCGAACCCATAAACTCCATAGATTTCTAAGGCACGGAAGTGGGCGAATATTCGAAAGAAGGCGGGGGAGGTGGTGGTGGCCGACCAGCAATAGAGCAAGCGCGGGTTAGTTGCTCGCGCAGCTTTCGACACCGTGAACGTTGTTCTAGACGTTCATGATAGCGTTGAGTTGATACGCCTGATGGTACGTAAAAGGTGAAAGTACACACCTTCACAGGGCCACAAGGTGCTAAGATAATCAATGGGTTTAAGGAACGCCATACACACTTCGAGGGCAATAGTAAGAGAGTTATCGCACTCCCAAAGGGATAGAGCTCTACGATGCAAAGTTTAATGTGGTCTACACTAGACGTAGTTAACCTTCTCACCTGCTAATCTGGCTCATAAACCAGAATGCGAAGAATGGTCGATGAACGACCGTATTGGAGGCCTGGCCGGTCACTGTATGCATAGCATGTACGACACGTTGCGCGACATTAGCCTGGTGGGACACTAAAATCTAATTGTCAATATGACCTAGTGGAACATAAGTGCTGCTACTTACGCCATTCCTCTGCTTTAGTGCGGTGAAATAAGCCATTAGCGTTGCTGGTGAGAAAGTCAGTCGAGTGGAACAAATAACAAAGGAAAAACTTACGCAGTGGCAAGTGGAATATATCGCTGAAACTCATAAGAAATACACATCCGTACACTAAAAGAAGTGGTGAGTAAGGAACAGCGGTGACAAATCAAAATCATTACTTGAAAAGATATTCTCGGCCCTGGAATAAAAATGCTCGCTCTAGTCCACACGTGTGACTATCCAGGGCTTTATCAAGGGCATCTGCTTCCAACCAAGCATTGACACCGAACCGGGCCTTTTCCTCTTCCGTAGCGTTCGGGTCGAGGCGTATACCCAAACAACTATGCCACAATAGCATCGTTCTGTAATAAAGTGCCCACACTGTATCTTTAGGAGATTGGTTGGATGTCAAGGCTTGTGAGCGAGTGAGAGCTTCGCCTGGAAATAAAAGCACGTACTAGAGTAAAAGTCGTCAGTCATTATATAATCAGTGAGCACGAATTGAGGGCTCACATTGGCTGGCTCGACCAGGAACAATTCAGGACCCAATCGGTTACAAGAGTTGGTGTAGGAACTATGTCCAGCAGTGAGCATCAATGCGCTCCAGCACAACCTTCGACATGATTCCTTTCTAATTTCACCGTCTGTCCAGTTTTCGTCCCACGCTGGGGTAGATAACCACAGTGGCGTATGTTCGCTTGCACCCGACCATCGTTGACCAAGCGAGAGTGATGCGCAAGAGCATCCCTTGTCTACTTTGGTGGAGCTTGTAGAGACTTGAGTTGAACTATAATTGTAATTAACCCCGGAGGAAGGATAATATGTGCGGGGAATGGGATAAGCAGGTGGAACATCGGAAGGTGACCACGAAGTATTAGAATGAGCGACGGGTACTGTAGGAACAGTACGAGGGGCAAACTTAGAGGCATGAGGGTCATTCGCATCAAGGAATGTCAAGGAAAGGCTGCGGATAATTGTGTCGAGCATAACCATAGAAGATGCAGACCGCTCAGTGGAGTGGAGTGGATGAGCGCAAACTTCAAACATCGCGAGCAACTAGCCAAAGGAAAAATTATGAGCTTCTGTTTGAATTTGAAAATTATTGATAATTACCCATGCAGCTTGGGCTAATGTCTCGTCAATCCATCTACCATTTAAGCTGGCCTCTAATGAGCCTTGAGCAATATCCCTTAACCTCAACGCCTTCTTTCGCCCCTCTTCTCCTAATCCGGCCTCTGAGCTCTGGAAAAAAGTTGCAATTGCAAGCGCGGCTATTACCAAGCTCGGTTGCATCTGATCTCGTTTCTCTGGTTCGAAATACGTGGAGAAGAAGCGGGGGACATTAAAAAAAGAAAACCAGTAGTTAGAAGAACGAAACAAAAATCGTAAGTCGCGTGTTATTAAATTTGAGGCCTGATTGCGTTCTGATAGTGTTAAAGCAGGTACATGGACGGGCGAAGACGACGCATAGATAACAAGGAGTGAATCCCACCAGGTTTTACGCGTGAAGTCGAGGGATGGCTCAGAAGTAATGTTAATCACATCTTCTGAACTCTCGTCGTAATCGTCGTTTATTCGCCTTTGGTAGGGTTGGGGTGAGACTTCATCGGCAGGCAAAAACCGCTGGTAATTATAATCATTGAGGTAGGTACGATGAGAACTTGACTTCTGACAAGGACGATGAGCGACGATACAAGGATAAGTGGCGGTAGTATCACCTGATCAGTGGAAATATCATATCTATCATCCTCGCCAAACCCTTGGATGGGAGTGGGAAAGCCATTGTCTATCGTATTCAGTGACACATTCTGTGAGACATCGGAGAATTTCGGAACGTCGCGAGAAGATGTAGCGTCCTCAGACGATGGTGGCACCAAAAAAACAGGCACTGGGGGTGCGGATAAACCAGCGACTGGGTGTCGCATTATTTCCCCCGTTTCCTGACTGGGGTTCTGCCCCACAATATTTGTGGCATCGACTTCATCGTCGAACTTCTTTCTACGACGCCTACGTGTGCCACCGCCACCGCCACCTCCACCGTCAAGTATGCTGCCTCTCACTGTCCTCTGGCGTGCGCCGGGCGTTTTATCCGGGCCGCGACGTTTAGGTGCTGAATCATAACAGCATTCATTATTACCATTAGGACGGCGACTACAGTTATGGCAGGCTGGCTTAGCACCATCGCATCGAATCTTCCGAGTACGGCTTTATGGTGATATAAAATTGGTCAATACACCCAAACCGGCAGATTGTGTAGAATACACGAACCACTGCATACAAGCCACATAAACCCTCGATCTGAGCTTTCCTTGGGTTGTAAGTGGTTGATCGGATGCCAGCTCGATACGAGGCTTTTCCCGCCGTGTCTTTCGGTGCTTCGAGGAAGAGCCGGCATTTGCGTCGGGAGGTGACTGGGAGGAAGACGACTTTGTCGTTGCGGAGAGCGGCTCCGGATAAAATCCAGAAGTCGACGACATGAGCATTGCAGAGTCTGGCTGCGACGGCAGATCGCTGGTTATGAGATTGGTTAAGAGTGGATGGTTGGTCGAGTAGCTCATCTGTCGTGGCTCGTGTTCATATCGAATATCTCGGTCCGAGATGTCCGCGTCGGTTCGATAATACGATCGAGGAAAGGTTTGAGAGGGGGGGTAGTTCATAGCGGAAGAGTAGAGATGCGTATCAGGGTACGACTGTGACGGTGACGCAGACGTATAATCTGTGTCTAACTGGTGTTTGTAGCCGGCTATGTGCTGGCTACGAGAGGAGTAGGAGAAGCCGGGGAGGGCCATAGTGTCGATTGAAGGGAGTACACCGGGTCTTTGGGTACTTTTAGGGTGGTACGGCTGGACACCGGGCTCGATGTCGAGATGATCCTTCGGGTCAGAGTTATTGTGATTGAGATACATGCTGGTGGGGGGAATCCAGGATCTACAACGATACAGGCATGAGTATAAGTATCGGTGAAGGGAAGATTGATATTTTTCACGGCTTACCTGTGCAGAGGGTTCAGCTGGAGAATGTCTGTATGTTGATGTCTGTTTTGAACGGTGGGAATCGACGCTAGCCCATACTGCGATATTCAAAATCCACGTCAAATTGGGTAAGCTTCCCGCCTCTGTTCCTCAGTGAAAGATAAAAAGAACATACAATATATGGTCGTTGTCGAGCTATACGTTATTCCCTACAGTCACTCTGATCCACGAAGGGCTATCGAGAATTAACTAACACACGGGTGCTATGAGAATCTCACTCGGATTCGGGTCTGCAAACACCCATCGCTGCTTGGTTCTGTTTGCATTGTGGCTGCCATCACCCATGGGGTTGGTTCCTGCCCCACACCGTGCCGCGCGCCACTGCCACCTGCAACCTACACGCTTGCCAAATCTGTATAGCCAATCATTCATCTCTCATTTTATCCAGTCACACATAACAACCATCTTGCCCACCATCGTTTCGTGATATCAGCACAAAACACAACAACAATGAATTGCAGTGTCCTTACTCGCATTTTCAGGTGCTCTGCCAGTTACAATTACACAAAGTTACAGTTGTCGTCGCATAACGGTCACTTGATCAAACCTTCTTGCAATTGGGGTCACGGTAAATTGCGGAAACAGCGATAGTCAGGCGCTATAGTAGGCTATAGTGCTTCGCGATCGTGTGCTCGCCAAACGTTCTTTCTGGCATTCTTTGTCAACTGGAATCACTCGAATGATGGGAAATATATTTCCTCTGCACATGCAAACACCTTCTCTTTCGGGCTATGTTGTCGCTAGTATCCCTCTTCCCCAGGTATAAATTGAGTATGTCTACCTTGAGATTTCCTTTGGCCACGGTTCTTCGCATCGCACGGTACAAGGGTGTTTAGGCTTTCCTGAATTCACTTCTATCATGGGCATCTGGACACAAGCTATCCTTCTCTCGACCCTCAGTTTTGGGGCTCTCGCCGCACCATTCATCGAGACCCTTGCTCACTTACCCCGGGCTCAGGTCTCCACCGTGACGAACATGACGGCCACTCAGCTCAGCGACCTCGCCCCTTACACCGAGTTTGCTAGAGCAGCTTACTGCTCTCCTAGCATCGTGCAAGGATGGGCGTGCGGCGGTACGG